AAAGTAAAGCTCTAACGAAAGATACTGTCTTCATTCAACTGATATTCACACAGATTCCTCCTTGGCTGATATCCTGTACCTATGAAATGAAAAATAATTAACTCACTGTAATGAAATATTATGTTCTTTCTTTGTTTGGTTTTGGTTTTGGTTTTTTTGGGGGGGGGTGGGGAGGAGATAATTAGGTTTATTTATTTTCACTGGAGGTACTAGGGATAGAACCCTAGACCTTGTGCATGCTAAGCATGCACTCTACCACTGAAGTATACCCACCCCCTGAAAAATTACATTCTTAAAAGAAAATGTGCTTCCTGCTTAAAAAAAAAGGAGGAAAAGTTACTAGCCAGAGGTGGAGAAAGAGCATTACCCGGAGTTGTCTTCACCACTTCAGTTGTTCGTGGAATCTTAGTTGTGAAGAGTTCTTGGGTGAACTGGTCTGTTTCTGCTGGGGAAAACACAGTAGAAGGGCGGGCTTTAAATAATTATCATTATGTACATGTCAAAAAAAAAAAAACCCCAAAACCCATACTCTTTTCTTCCCTATGCAATGATAAAAGGGTAAATTGTATCTGTAACTCTGCCTAGCAATCATCTTATTTCAAAGTTAATGGTGTATTTTAATAGCTCTCATTTATTGTACTTATTGTCTTCTTGTACTATTATTTCAATGATTATTGTAAGGATTTCCAAAAGCTTTAATTTAGGGTCACTGGACATGGCTATATACTTGGATATGCCTCCTGTCTTCATGTTTATGTATTGCCTTCATGTTTCCTCCCTATTCCATGAGCTCAAGTTATTCCGATGAGCTGGAAAAAAAACCAGATCATATGAAAAAATGTGTTTACACCATATAAGAATAAATGATATCCTTTTTGAAGGAAAAAAATCAAAACTGAATGAGCAAATACACACTTGAAGGAAAAAAATTAAAGCTGAATGAGCAAATTTTCTCACGTGAAAATCAAAGTTTACTTATGACATGCAGACACATTACTCCTGACAAAATTAAAAAAAAAAGTGTGGCAATACTTCTACCCCGTATTATCTTGAAGTCGTTACAGCATCATACAGACACAGCAGATTACACTGCTCACTTTGCCACAAAATGGATCCAAGGAAATACTTGGTGCAAACAGTATGTTGTTATCTTATTTTCTGCTTGTCTTATAATCTGGAGTCTGCTCCTGAGAGAGACACTTGTGATAGTTGTCATAATAAACTAAGACATATTAAAAAAAAAAAACAAACAAGCAGGGAGTGGAATGTAGATAACCAGCTTATCCAGCAGTGCTTCTTGATAAGTACTTTCGATTTTGCCATCATGGGTGATGTCAACTTTGAGGGCCTGGGCTGCAGAAGATGAGTATTTGGTCATTAGGATATATTTGCTCATTCAGTTTTAATTTTTCCCTTCAAAAAAGGATTTCATTTTAAAATGGGATCAGTAACTTCATTTCTGCAGACACACACAAAGGGTGGGTTTATCTGAAAAGGGATGAAGGGAGGGAAATAAAGCCACTGATTTAAGCACAGCCACGTGGGACCTAGCCTGGACAGGGCAGAGGAGCCAACAAACACAAGCCAGGAACTCTTGTTTTCTGGTTCGTTTTTAGCCAACTGTCAGGCAAACTGGGGTTTCCCACACAGTGGACACACTGATGCTCAACTCCTCGAAAGCACGGCCTGCTCATTGCAACCAACCTTGCTGACTCATTCATCCATCTGCGTTTATCCAGGCCACCCACATGCTCATCAGAGCAGTATGGCCTCCACTCCTGACCTGTGCCTCCTCCTCATCTGCCTTTAACCCGAAAGGACCTTTCACACCTTTAACTTTCATTCTCATTCCAACTTGAAGACCCAGCGTCTATGTCACCTCCTCTGTGAAGCCTTCCCTGATACCCCTAGTAGTTTGCTTGTTCAGCATGCTGCTCATTCCTCTCTGGTACTCACTGTAATGTAGAACATGGGGGTGAATTCCAGGAACTCTGGTGACTGAGTATGTGGCTTCCAGTTTGGCTCTGACATTAGCTGTATAACTTGGCTAGATTTTTAAATCTCTCTATGCCTCAATTTTCTAATCTTTAAAATGGGGGCAAGTAAGAGAAACTATCCGACAATGTTGTTAGGTGGCTTAAATTTCAAAATACATGTGGAACCCTGGGTGGTAAGAGAAAACACAGCTATTGCTAAATCCTGTCTTCATATTAGACAGCAAGCTCTCTGGGATAGACTCACCTTTAAAACAGTTTTATTTGGGGACTCCTGTTGCTCAGCACCCATGAAATTTTAAATACTAGGTGAAATTTTTCTTCCCAAGTGAAGTTTCAAATATTTGGAAAAAGCAACAAAAAAAGTACAGCACTGATATACTTAGGGAACATTCTTCTTTTTCAAGTGCTTGAAATTTTTGTCAAGATGTTTTAAAGTATTCTCATTTCATATTAAAATCAGCATAAATATTAGAAGGACAAATATACAGTTAATGTAAAAGAATTAAGTGAAATGTTTTTTTTTATGATGGTAAAAAGAGACCCTCTGTGGTTTGGAAACACACGAACACACTGTATGCATGGCTTCCTTAGGACAATCCCTAAAATGTAAGCCCTCACAGGGGACTGGAACAGCAAAACAAATTTACCCGGAGTGGTTTGCAGCTCCTCTTGACTAGAACTCGGTGAAATCATAGGAATGAAAGGGCTGCCTCGTGTCTCTAAAGGAGCTGCAGAAAACAAGTACCAAGGTTGTCAGTCTTTAGATTCAAAGGCCAGTACCCAGCCAGAATAATATTATATGAGATTCCTTTATTTGAAACAGAAAAATGAAAACGAGTGAGTGAGTGAGTCATGGAGAAGAAAGTTAAGTGTGCATCGAACCTTCAGGAAAACGATCGTGGAATGTTAGAATAATGGTTCTCAACTGTTTTCTTCCACCAGGGTAGATAACAAATGACGTTTGGTGCTTGGCACACTCCATGACGGTACGCAGTTAAGGTGGGGTGGGTTAGACGTGGTCCTGGCTGTGTCGGCTGCAGCTCTCCCACCCAAGAGAGTGCACAGGATTACAGCAGGAGAGAGAATGCCATCACCGCCACCACCATCTGGAAGCTGCTCAAGTTTATTTTTAAAAACAAACCATTGGCAAATCTCAGTACTTTGACCAATATTAACAATAATTACTTGCCAGCACCTTTCACAACATGCTAGGGTGTTGTAACACCACAGCCAAGAACCACTAAACCAGCAGAAAATGTTAACTAGACAGACAGGAATAAGGTGGAATCATTTAGAACACGGAGACAGGTGAGGTAGGTGACGAGGGACCTGGTAGTGAGCTACCTTAAGTTGGTCTTCAGACCACACCTTTAGAACAGTGAAACCATTGCCTTTCTGTTTTGGAAAGAGTAAAAATAATGAGATGAAACGATGAAGAGGATGGAGAACAGATGACGTTTCCACGTGATCACTTGAGAAAGACCAGCAATCTTGATGGCAGCCAAGCAAACAATGAGAATGGGTCAAGCGGGAAGACCATTACCTATTGTTGGCTCTGGGAGGTCAGTTTCAAAGGTAACAGGTTGCAGAACTAGGCCAAAAACAAACCAAAGAAATCGGTTTATGAGGATCACTACCCTGTGAAATAAAGCTGGTTTCTGTGTTTCTACATGAATCCATTTGAACATTTAAACATTCTCTTAGACTCATAATAAATATGAGAAAATTCTATATCTTAGATGCCACCCAGGGAACTTGGTTTAGCTAAAACTTCTTAGCTAAAAGTTCTTATTCCCTGTCACTTAGAGGAAAATTTTTGAGTAGGCACCCGGATTTCTTACTTAAAAGTATATTCACAGTTGGAATGTAGTTGTTTATATTTTGAAAGAAGACCAAAGTGGTTGGCTCAGTTAATAATTATGTCTTACAATTTTTTTTAAATTTTAACCTTCTTTTTTTTTAACTGAAGTATGTGTATGACTGAAATGTTATGCAGTACACCAGAAACTGACCCAGCATTGCAAACCTACTACGCTTCAATAAAAAAAAAAGGTTAATTTTAGCATGATCTGCTATTCAGCCAAAATACTTCCATGGAAGAGGAACCAATTTTATACTATTCCCTCCTGAGGAAAAAATTTCAAACAGATCATGTGATTCACCTTCCTCCAAAGAAACATACTTCTTATATCCATAATTTTCTCTGAACTTCTTCCACATCACAATCATTACAAAAATATATTTACCTCAAGAAGATTTTTTGAAAAATATACTACCTAACTGGGAAGATAAAACAATTCATTTACCAGTTTCTCTCTGAGAGACTTCAGTGTCTGGTTTATGGGGAAGGAGCACATCTCTTGGAACTGAAAGAAAAAGATGATAAAACACTGTACTCTAAATGTCATGCCTGGAGGGAAACTTAACCCTCAGATAAAAAATCCTGGGAAGCATGAGTGAAGCAAAGGTGTTTTCACAACGGTCAAAGAGCTAAGCCAAGAAGAGGACCGTTCTTTCCAAAATGGGAAAGTGTCGCTGCACAGGGAAGATTCCAGAGGCAGGAGAACAAAGTTGGTTATAGTTCACGCTGAAGATTCCTTTGAGGGGTGCGGGAAGGAGGAAGACATGACTGATACAGTTACACAAGGAGGTAGTCTCCCTCAAGTTGTCTTCAAAGTAATAAGTCAGTTTTTGTCCGAAGTGGTCAGCTACCATATGATATTCCTGCTAAAGTTCTACTGATAGTAAGAGAAAATACATTATCTTAGATAAAGTGCATAAATGGCCTGCAAGTTGAGGAAAACAGGAAAGAAAAGAAGGCCAAATTCTTGAATATGTAAGAGGAGGACAGAGTTTTAACAGGCACTAACAGTTTCTATGGGGAGAAAACAGAGCAGAAGGAATCAGCCACTCATTAGAAGATATCACATGTAAAGTTCATGAGTGCTTGTTACGTAGTAAATGCTACGCAAATGTTGACATTTTTGGCATTCTTAGTGACATGGCTTCTAGTATAATAGGTGCTAACACAAAAACAAAGGAGAAAAATGTGCTAAATGATAAATCTACCTGTTGTCAGTCCTGATGCCCACTGTATTTTTAATGCCTGTGTCCAGTTCTATTTTGGCAAAATAAAACAGTAGGCTGGAAATTTGCTATCTTATTTCTCACTGGGGAAAAAATACCAGGGTGAGCTACCTATTGCTAGTACCAGATTTCTATGGCAAATCTGCTTTCTGGAACAAGATTATGTACTTCTTTGACTCAGTTTCCCCACAAGGAGGTCCTTCTCAACCCTGCTCACTCAATGAAACGTTTTCCTACCACACTGAATTCATAAATACCCTTTGGTATGCAGTGTAGTTTTCTTGCATCTTATATGACGCTGGGAGGAAAAAATTAGGATTCTGGCTAGAACTCTGCCACTGGCAAAGATGAAGAAAACTTTTGTACCCTGAGGTGGCCAAGCACCACTTTACCATTAGTATAGAAAGAGGTTATATAAAACAGACATTCTCTTCTGGGACTTTTGGGGAGCCACATTTAACCTGGATATCACATCTGTTCTTAGTTTAAGCCACTTAGTAAGTCCCAGTGAAATCATAGTTGTGGAATCTGGTACACAGAGAAGAAACGGGCTCAGCTAGAACTTCTATGTGCTAAAAGGGAACAACCAGGGGAACTTGAAATCAAGAGTTTTCTTTTTATTAAAAAAGGCAACTTCAAAAAGCTTAGTAGTGGACAGAGTTAGAGAAAACCCATCACAACAGTGACCATTTTACTTACGCTCTGTAGTATTTTTAAGGATTCAAAGAAGAAAAGAGGAAGAATTTCCAATTGTAAATCAAATGAAATGCTTATCTGAGGGTGAGCAAGAAGGTGCTTGGTGTGGCTCTGGGAAGGTCACGACCATACAAAGCAGCCTGCAGTTTATAAGCACCCTAATGGTTACAGAGCTGGAGAGCACAGAGAGGTGTGGGACTCAGGGAAGGAGAAGCTGAGAAGAAATGTGCTACCCATAAACCCACCACACTGTAAAGACATCACTCACTGCCTGCCTTCGTTTACTGAGGAATTTAGATGAGGGTAATGGGGATTCCTGCTGCTGCAACTGGCACTTTCTAACCATGAAGTGATGATATAATAATTGGCTTGGCAGGCTTTCTAAAGCAGGTGAAATCAGTGGAAAGGAAAGAAGTAGAAATATTCACAGGAAAGGGATATGAATCATTCTCATACTTGGTCAACGGCAGCTCCAAGAAATGCCAAGTCTTTTTTTTTTCCCCGATGTGGCATTCCTCTGCATATTAAATTGAATAAGAGCAGGGTTCCTAAAACTGAAATCTCTCATGCTGGGGGAACCTTACCAATGTAAATCATGACAATTTACTTGAGAAGGCAGTTTTGATTTCCGTACAAGAATACTTATCATTATTATATTTTAGATCCTTTTGAATTAGCCAACTTATCATTTATATAACTAACCAATTAACTTACTGGTTGTATTAACTATCTTTTTGAATAAAGGGCACCATTCCAAAGAAAAATTCAACTAACAAGACAATTATGAAAGGAAATGTCCAAAATGGACAAATGTAAGTGAACGTGCATGAATGTTTTGCCAGAGTAGATGAGAGAACGAACATGTCACTCAGATACAGGTGGCAGACGTGAAGTCTTCAGTAAGTTTACCCCTGCAACAGGCTACAAAGAGATTCTCTTAGAACAGTAATACACGTAGACCACACATCCTTTTCACCTCCGGATTCTCTCTTCCTTTATTCTAACCTTGTACCCTAAGGTCCAGTCTGAGAGGGAGTGAGGTTCCTGCCCTTTCAGAGGCCACTTTCTGAGCTTTACTGGTGCTCTTGGGCCACCTTCCCTCCCATCTCCTTTGGGATCTTTTACTTTCCATTATTTCTATTATCTTATATTTTTCTCCATTAGTCAGTATTTCCATTTATCCACGAGTCCCTCCCTCTCCACCTACAAAACAGCTCACATCTTCCAACATCCTAAAATAATAATCATTTCCTTGATGTGGCTTCCCCTTCAAACAATCCCTTTCTTGTTCTCATTTCTTTAATCTAAAACTTTGCCTGCGCTTCCTGGTCATTTAGCTGCATCTTCTTCACCCACTGTGGTCTGATCTCCTGAAACTGTGGATCCACACAGCCTCAGCCAGAGTTCTCAAGTTCAAAATGTTCTGAAAATGGAAAGGTTTTTTTCTCTTCACTTATTTGACAGAAAAACCTGACTAGAATTGACCTGAGGTGATTGACTGTGCTGTCTCACCTTTCTAAAGTCTGAAAATTGCTGAATTCTGAAGCATGGACTCACAGAGTTTCAGATGCAGGCTTCTGGACCTGATGGTCAAGTCCAGCAGCCCTTCTGACCCCTGTCCACCTCACTGACATTGGTGGCCACCCTTCCCTGCCTTGCCTGCCAAGTCCCTCTTTCCTGTACTCTCTGATTTTTGATGGCAACTTCTGCTGGTTCCTCTTCCTCTATGCACTCCTTAAATATAACTGTGTCTCCTCAGACTCTGATCTCCCATCTCTTAATTTCTCAGCCTATACTTCCTCCTGGATGTTATCATCCGCTCACAAGTTTTAAGAACCTTCCATATGCAGACAAATGACTTCCAAATCTACATCCTAACAATGACTTCTGTTTAGAAATCCCAAAATACATTTCAACCACCAGTCCTGCTGGCCCTCTAAACCTCGCACATATAAACACAAGCCTTTATTCCTCCTGTGTTCCCTGCTGTAGTTAATGGCATTATCACTGACCACCTTTTAGCCCAGAGCTAAAAACCACAGTGTCATCCCTTTCTCCATAACACCATTCAGTCATTGTCTAGGTCCCAGCCATTCCATTTCCAAAAGACATTTTAGCATTAGTCCCTCCTTTCCTAACTGCAGAAATGCTGAAGTGTGACTGAAAATCAGAATTTGCCAAAGAGAATACTTATAGACCATTTGTAAGATTGGTTAGCTTGCTGAAATTGAAATTTTTTTTTCTCCTGGTTTCTTCCCAATGACTAAAGTCTATCCAAATACCTGTGGACCAGAAGAGTCACCACAAAGCAAGGCAGCCCCTGATGCAGAACAAATCTACAAAGAAGGCACAGTTCTGCTGAGCCAGGCATCAGGGCAGGCAGAGTTTTAGATTAAAGCAATGAGAGCAAGAAAGGGATGGTATGAAGGAGAAGCCATGTCAAGGAAATGATGGGTCAGAAGGAAAGTCAGTTCTGCTTTATTTCTGGACATGGTGTGTGGGCTCAGTTTGTCTAGATTCCTCCTTAAGTGTAGTAGATAATATAACTGAGTGACTGAAAGATATTTTCTAAAGCCCTAACTGGATGAAACATATGTTATGCCCAGGAATCTACAGAATGGAAGAGCTGCACAGAGCATTTGAGACTGACTTATTTGATATAGGCCTAAAAATTCAAGTTTGCCATGTTGGCTGTCTCGCAATACATTTTGAGATAAACATCATGATAAAATATAACTCTGTCCTGATTTCAGGACTACACTTCACATTTTTAGATTTTTAGAGTGTCTCTCTAGGATACGAGTACACATTAAATATACACGTAATTTACCCTGTTTTCTGAGGAGCTGGTAAACAAGGTCTTGGGCTCCTTAGGATGCAAACCTGAGCCTAGATACAATCCCAAAATGGGTTGAATCCTGTGTTTGAACACTTGTAAGAAAACTGAAAAGCAGTAATGATTGACTTATGGTTATTCTGGTAGCATCACACCTCCAGACCAGCAGGGGAACCTCTGATGGACACAGTGGCAGGACTGGCCCCAGGTTAAGAGACAGAATTCGAACTGAACATTTGGAACTGGAGAGTCAACAGAATCAGCCCAGTGAAGGCTTCAGGGGAAGTGTTTGTGCCGTTTTACTAGGGTTCAAACTTACGGGTTGGAGTATCTGAAAAATTAGGTGGTAATGGAATTTAAAAAAGAAGATGTTAAAAAAAAGAAGAAAAAGTTTAACTATTAGAGATACTGGTTTAATGAGATTACATCATATCAGGACCAACAGTACCACTTTCTCTAACAAAAAGGAAAAGTGAATAAAATTACTCAAATCTACTGTTGGCATCTGTAATGACTCAATTTCTGTTACACATTTTTCCCACAAGTGAAAGCAAGAAGTTGATCTTTTGCAAGTGGGAAGATTAGCTTTTTTTTTTTCTTTTCTTACTGGTGTTTATACTGACTGCTGCATTTAGCTGTACAAATTTAAATTCTAGACTTCAGGGCAAAAGAGGCTTTTTGTAGTCCATTACCACCTGCAACAATTTAACAATCCAACAGCAGCAGCAGGAACACCCTCTTCTTATACAACCTGGAAACATGATAGCAAGTGAACTCACTCGCTTCCAAAATGCCATCATTTCAAGCTACAGCTCAGAAATCCTTTGGTTCTGGAGATGTTCTATATGCCTACAGGGCATCTTGGAATTTATAGTCACTGAACCCTTCAAAACTAAGGGGAAAAACTTACAGAATTCTTGGATACTCTAGTTAAAAATTAACTTGGTTTGGCTTATTAGTGAACTAACTGTGAACTAATTACTGAAGCTAACAGTGGCTTGCTGTGGTCACTTGAAGACCTAGAGAAATGCGTGGGTCCTTGCAGCCCCCACTCTAACTACTCGCACAAATGTGAGGCTATTTCTTCCATCCATGGACAAAAAAAGCCTTCTCAGACGATAGGCAAGAAATAGACTTGTAGCTAAATAAATCATTTTTGGTGTGTGAAACACATTTCTTATTTCTTAACTCAAGCTATTGCTCCATGGACTGGTAAAATTGAATTTAAAAGAAAAAAAAAACTTTCAATGCTGGACAGTGCAAAATTTCTGAACCTGAGAAAACGTTTAAACATCATTTTCTCTGTTTGTAAAACATTTTATCATTTTTGAGGAAAAATCCCAAATCCTTTATTTATCTTATTTTGGTGAAACATGAGCAGAACATAGTTAACATTGGTAGGTTATTTTTTAGAAGTCAGAAAATGAGAAAACTTTAATTCTAGAAGAAATTTTCTACCCTTGGCATAATTCTCTGCCTTTTAATTGTGTAAGTGGCTTACTATATGAGCACTTAGATTACTGTTGTGAACACTCCAAAATTGTCATATCATGCATGCTACAACATGGTGCCTGAACATAACTGAAATAGTGACCTCACATCCATCAGCTTTCATGTTTCATTACAGCAGAGTGTGACAATAGAATGCATTTGGCTTATATAGGAAAGAAAGCATTTACCAGGTGAAGTATAGGACACTTCTGGACTTGGTGATGTCCTTGGCTTCAGAGTAACACGCTGCAACACCTGAGGAGCTGAAAGAGAGAGCTCAGATCATGAGTCATTTGGTTTCAGCATCTCCCAGTCATACTTAACACATAAGATATGACAAAGTATAAGCCTGACCATTGATTGAAAAAAAAAAAGTACTGAAATGGGAGTTAGATGGAAAAGAAAACCCTTAAGCTCTAGAAATCAACTGGTTAGAATTCCAGATACTTAAAGAAAAATGAAATCTAAGAAACAGTAAAATTTGACTAAGGGTAGGATTAAGAGTTTTTTTGAAATCTTCACTTCAGAAGAGATAGCAATTAACTTAATGCAAAAGGTGTCTTTTTGAAGTAGGATTCCTTCTAGATATATGCCCAGGAGTGGGATTCCTGGGTCCTATGGTAAGTCTATTCCTAGTATTTTGAGGAATCTCCATACTGTTTTCCACAGTGGCTGCACCAAACTGCATTCCCACCAGCAGTGTAGGAGGGTTCCCCTTTCTCCACAGCCTCTCCAGCATTTGTCATTTGTGGACTTTTGAACGATGGCCATTCTGACTGGTGTGAGGTGATACCTCATCACAGTTTTAATTTGCATTTCTCTGATAATTACTGATATTGAGCATTTTTTCATGTGCCTATTGATCATCTGTATTTCTTCCTTAGAGAATTGCTTCTTTAGGTCTTCTGCCCATTTTTGGATTGGGTTGTTTGTTTTTTTCTTATTATGTTGTATGAGCTGCTTATATATTCTGGAGATAAGCCTTTGTCAGTTTCATCATTTGCAAAAATTTTCTCCCATTCTGGAGGTTCTCATTTTGTTTTACTTATGGTTTCCTTTGTTATGCAGAAGTTTGTAAGTTTAATTAGGTCCCATTTCTTTATTCTTGCTTTTATTTCTATTGCTCAGGTAGGCTGCCCTAGGAGAACATTTTTGAGATGTATGTGAGATAATGTTATGCCTATATTTTCTCCTAGGAGTTTTATCGTATCTTGTCTTATGTTTAAGTCTTTGATCCATTTTGAGTTGATTTTTGTGTATGGTGTAAGGGAGTGTTCTAGCTTCATTGATTTACATGCTGCTCTCCAGTTTTCCCAACATCATTTGCTGAAGAGACTGTCTTTATTCCTGGATCAAGCGTAATTTTGATGCTGCTAACATTTTCCTTTCCCCAGACCATTAGTGATGGTGAGGGTTCCTTTCCTAGTAAATTGGGTCGGTGAATCTCATGTTCTTTTTGGAAGTGGGCCATGTATAAATGATAAATATAAATTTAGTGATTGGCCTAGACTGTAACTTGACTACAGAAGGATGAAATTTTGTTTCACATCCCTAGTATCTAGCACATTGTCTGGCACACAGATATTTGTTGAGTGACTAACTGATGAAATGGATTAATCAATCACTTAAGCATCAAGGAGTGACAAAATTTTAAATTAGGAGAGAAGAGCAACAGGAGATCAGTTGATTAATGACCATGGACTAGGCATGACTGGGTAGATGCTTGAAGTAGGCATCAATGCTAGAGATGTTTGGAAAAACAGATGGGCTGCAGAGGCCGGATGAGAAAAAGAATAAAAATTGAATGGCAAATGCTGAGAATCTGCAACAGATGTAAATGAAAAAATGAAAGGAGAAAAAGATAAGCTTTCTTTGAGGCATGTCAAGTTTCTGGTAGCCCAAAATGGTGCTCTGTCAAGGCAGTTGGAGAAACTGAATAAGATCTTCGTTGAGAAGTTAGGGTAGAGTTAGTTATTCAAGTAAGAGTTTCTTGAATAGAATAAAAAATAGTTTATATTGACTCTTATTTGGGTCCTTCCCAAAATGTATAGCAAAACAATCAAATCAATATTATGTAATCATTACCTTATAGGAAAGGATATATGTTAAAAAAATTTCATGAATTAATGTTAAAAAAAACTGTCTTGTAATAATATATAATGGAAAAGAATCTGAAAAGAAAATATATACATGTATGCACATGTACAACTGAATTCTTTTGCCATACACCTGAAACTAATATTGTAAATGAACTACACTTCAATAAAAAAATAGAATAAAAAAATCTACTGAAAGGTAAAAAAAAAAAAATTAGCTGATTGGCAGGGGAAGGACATTCAAGGACCATGGAAGGATTTCTCAAGTTGGGAGAGGCAAAGGGAATAGGCAGGCTACTCTTTCAAGAAATTCCATTCTTCTCCATCCCGCTCTCAAATAATATAACAATACGGAAGCTTTCTGGACTAAGCTACCCCAATAATATCCTTTTGGATAAACAGGATAAAATATATGTAAATATTTAAATATCTAAAATACATAAAATATATGTAAATCTATGTAAATATCTAAAATATATGTAAACATTTACTAGATTTCAAAGCAAGACTTGTTTTACAAGGATTAAAAACTTAACTTGCTATAATGTCAACAGAGTAATTCCCCTAACATCAAACTTTTCAGGCCAGAATATAAAACACGTATTTACCTGGCTGTGTTTGTGGGATTCGTGGGTGTGGAGATGTTTTTGGTTTGGGAGGAGCTCGCGGTATCTCCTTGAGAGCTAAAAAACAGGATACAGGTTTGGAGCTCTTGAGCTCTTTAAGAAGCACAATACCTAAGCCTCTAGGATTTTAAAGATGTTTGTTGAGTGACTGAAGACCTAAATACACAGTAATTAATGCAATTAAATCTCCCAAAGAGCCACAAAATATAGGAAGATAATTTTCTTATTAAAATGGAAAACACAAGAAGGCACATTAACTGGTATCTGAGATATTCAGCTGGAAAATGAAACTGTTGGAATTTTATAAATATCTACTTCAAGTACCTTTTAAGTAGGTTAAAAATAAATTTCCTAATAAAAAGAATTCACCCTTTCTTATTGGTTAATATCATTCTATCAGAATACCCCAGTATAATATTTTAAGTGCAGAGAGATATAATTTCTTCAAAATAAAAAGCATATTACGTTCCAAATGTACCTAAAAAGTGAATGCATCTTAATAGTAAATGCTAATGAAAAAAAAATTCATCTTGTTAAACAAAACACAATTTTTACTGGTCACATGGGGAAAAAAACTGAATAGAAATAGAAAGGATACATTATTGAAGAAAATTATTCTTTTGCTGGACAATTCCCAAAGAAGTTCCAGGATGCTCAGGTTAAAAATCAATTATTTCTTCACCAAGAAAGTTAAAATTGTATTCTGCTGGAAGAAAAGAATTATCGAACGCAAAGTGGCAGCTTGTGGAAATAACTCATTTGGTTGGGCTAAGTGTGTTTGGGATAAAGAGAGGTAAGAAGAAACAAAATGGTTTTCACGGTGATGGAGTTTAAGGCATCTTAAGAAAATCTTCTGAAAATAAGTGTTATTAGACAAAAGAAAGTTTCTAAAGAGTCTGTAGAGACTTCTTCCTGATATTTAAAATACACAAGGCTTGCAGTGGTGTCAGTGGACTCTTCTTGCCTGCAGAGAGAGGAACAAGATACGCAGGAGATGACACAGGTTTAGGAGCCTGGAACCTGGAGATTTAGTGCTCCCTTTGCTCATCAGTTGGTCTACAGGCTCAGATTTTTCATCAACAGTAACAGGATTTTTAAGAGCCCCTCCAACCCTAAAATTCTACACTGCGAGAGTTTCTGTAGTCTTGTGATATTCTCTCAACCCCTTTGCTTGCTGAGGTTCCTACTGATAGGCTATCTGCTTCCCTCAGGGCTAAGAGAGACCATCTGCAGGGAGATGGATGTCATGAGGCAATTCTACAAAAAATGATTCAGAATGAATGAGATTAGTATCACTACTAATATTCACAATTCAGTATTTCAATCATATTGATTACAGCTGCTGAAAACAACTTTGGAAAAGTTACAGATGATTAACACATACCCAGTTAATGCAGTCAGTGTGGAAGTTTGGTAAAAATTAAACTGCACAATTTAATAGGCAAAGTTTAACAGGATATTTCAGAGGACAATGAATGAAATTAATATCCATATCTCCTTTGGAAATAGAACCCTAAAAAATAGTTTAATGGCAACCAAAATACAAGTTTGGGCTTATTTCTAATAAACTGCTATGCCAAGAATGCCCGTAGACTGAGGGAAGTTTCCCTTGTAAGAAGCAGCACATTTATCCACGCTGATAATTTGTTTTCCTCAATTTCAGATTCCACCATCAGGTAAATCTTTATGACTTGCCAAGCAACTGGTTTGATTCAAGATTTCTCTTATTTGGATGCAGTGAAATGGCCAAACCACCACAGGAAGGAGCAGTAGGAACAAGTAAGGGACCTGAATAATGACATGCTGACCGGCCAGTTGTACCCTTCATGTGGACTGCACAGCGAAACCCACTTCTGGAAGCTTCTGTTAATCTCAAACACAAATTAGATACCTAAAGTCCTTTTTACATGGCCAGAGGCCTTGTAAAATTAGTCAAGATGACGAACTATTTAAAATTAGGGTATACATTTATATTTCAAAATAGAATATAAATGTTCTTCCCCAGGAACAGTCCTGTTCCTGTATAGAACACTTGCAGAGTAGCTGAGAGGTGCTTTTCAGTTATGCCCTAAAGAATATTCACAACACTGCTACGTGACTGGCTATAGACTGTGGACAGAAGGAGAAGTGGGGCACAGAACCGCAGGATCAGCCATCAAAGCCCGTGAGCAGTGATTAAGTTAGGGCTTCTGATAACTAGTAATAGTGCCCACGTATTGTCTTTCCATTCTTACAAAATCTGCAAACACTCACCTTCTACATGAAATACAAAAAATGTATTTACCCGAGTCGGTCTGAGGCTCATCTGGGCTGGGTAGGATTACAGTTTGGGAAGGCAGAGGTGACGTTTCTATGGTAACTGAAGGAAAGTACCCAGGGTTACTATAGTGTTTCACACACCTTGAGTACAGAAGACAGAAAGGATGGTAAAAAGATTGGGAAAAAAAGAAAGAAAAAGAAAGAAAAGAAAAGAAAAAAGAAAAGAAAAGAAAAGAAAAGAAAAGAAAAGAGAAGAGCAAGTCTGCAGCAAAATAGCACTCCGTCGTAATGCATTTAAAAATTGCTTAGAGATGCCAGATTACAAAATACTTTCAAATATCCTTATTTTTTAAAACTGCACTCCACCCTAGTACCTCCCCAACAATGCTAGAAAGATACATTCAATACTAACCATAAAGAGAAAAACAGTACTAAAAACTGTTAAAGCATAAGCCATTTAAGAAGCACTGAATTTTACTTGTCTAATGGAAAAAAAAACATGTAAATGAATGGGATGAAATGAGGGTTAATACAAAGTATGTTGCTTGGGCAGAAAGTATAAATGGATTATCACACACAAAATATTATCTGTAATAGTCAACACAATACCAAGCTGGCAGAATGTTCAATGTTAGAAAGAAGATGCTTTAGATTCGATACTTTGGGTGACTTGAGAGAGAGACCAAGGTCTAAACACAAAACTGAATGGGAGAAAACACTTTGTGGACAATGGTTATGAAGAGAAGCACCTAGAAAGAAAATTAAGTGCCATGACAAAGAGTGATGCTGCAACATGAATTCACAATGACGGAGAACCTGGGTTCTCCTGTGATGCTGGCAACGCGGACAAAAGTTGCTGAGGTGTGTCATTACCTAGCGTGGTCTCGGGCGGTTCAGACACATATGTAATAGATTCCACAGCTGCATCAAAACAAAGGAGAACAATTTAAGAAACTGTAAGATGAAGCTACAGTCAAATATGTCTTTCCTGAATATCAACACACCTCATTCTCTTGAGAATTTGCATCCTATTTTCACAGACAGGACAATGGACTTAGATAAGAAGAAAGAGAACCAAGAGGGAAATCGTTTTCTATAATCCTAATCCTCCAATTAATATTTATGTTTTAACTGTCACTAACTGATCATCCGATGTTATTCTGCCTCATTATTTAGATACCACAGAGAAACTGACATTTATTTCTGTTTTCACAGCGTCAACTATTATTTTTTAAATCCAAGAATTTTGGAAGCTATAGCTCTTCAAAGCCTTTCAGGTGTAGAACAAATACTCTAGTTTGAACTTTCACGTTCCATGAAACACAACAGGTGCTAATAAACATTTATTTTGAATAAATGAATCAAAGCATGAAGACCTTTACCACCTTCAGTCTTTGTCTCCTCTGGCCTGAGTGGTGCTTTGGCAGCAGGATATACATAATCTGTTCCAGTCAGTGCTAGGGAAGAAGCAGGGAGCGGCTGGTTAGTGACGGACAACCCACAGTACTTTGAAATGGAATACTTGCTAATGTGAGAATAGAGGTTAATTTTCTTCAGTAGATACATTTGTGAGAAGAAATAACATTGAGGTAGATTATGAAGATGATTACAATTTAAGAGGGCAAAAATGAAGGCAGTGTGCACTGTGGGACACCCTGCCCCCCATACACACACGATAACGGGCAGGGTCTACAGCAATTTCCACCTGGAGCAAAGCAGATAATTTCACTTCTTTACATACTTTTTTAAAAAGAACTCTAGTCAGAAAAAGACATACGGTGAGTCCTTTGAAATGAGGAGGAATCCTAGAAACAACGTGAAAATGAAAACTAGGACATGCATATCCATATTAAAAGAGTGATCAGAATATTAAAAAATGAAATTGTGTGTTCAGAGTGAGAGGAAACTAAGTGAGGAAACCGTGAAACTTGCACAGCAATACAGCAGACACAAACGTGATGTGCTGCATACAACATCTGACTCTGAAGATTCACTGGATGAGCACAGACAAGACGTGAGGAGCTATGAAATGTCACAAAGCATAAGAACATCCCAAGATGACTTCTGCAATGAGATGGAAAAGCACATATAGCTGACTTCCCCTTGAGGAACATGATTACCTATCGCTTCCCTTGATGACTCAGTGCTAAATGTAACCGATTCCAGGACTTCAGAAACTAGCAAAAAATACAAAATGGTGCATTTGATCAAGGATGGGTTGTTGTGAGCATTGAATGAGTTCATACAAACTAAGTATTTAGGCAAGTGCCTTGGACTTGTAAGTGTTCCGTGTTACCTATTATCATAATAACAATAGTATTATTAACACTAAAGGAAGCTCTAATAACCGAACTGAATTCATAATTTTATAAGTGTTGTAGGTTATCATGAACAATCAATCTTACACCATCAACATAAACACCAAAATGCCATTTAGGTAATTAAAAGATACACAAAGGGGATGAAAAGGAATTATAATCCTACACTAGAAAAAAAAATAAGATCCAGTGTTTCAAAGTAAATGTCAAAGGGTTGCAACCACATTTTAAAACTTTGTTTTTAATTTTGAAGGGTAATAATATCCAGGCTTATATTGTGTAAGGTGAAGTTTTGTTATCTTCACTGAATTAAGAACTTTCCCCTTCCTTAGTGGTCACAAACAAGTGAGCATTCTTTTCACATAGCAGAGCACAAATTTAGCTTATTACTAAAGAGAACCACAAGTTCATAACTTAGTGAAAAATAAAGGTGAATAACAAAATCAATTCTTCTAAGTGGCTCTGTTGACTACTTAATTAGGTACATGATTATTCTCTAATATGATACAGAGCAAACACAATAAAATGAAGGTAAGTTCTTCTATGCAGTTGAATAAGACAATTAATATAAATATAAAGTATTACTAATTTAACACCAATATGCAATCATGGAGAGAACATGTACCATATACAGTTATTAAATGCGTATTTCCTTTTGCATTTTTTAATATTTGGAAATATAACACTTGGAGTGTGTCCCCTGAAAGTCATGGTGTACCCAAACAGATCTAATAATCTATTTACCGGGTTGACTTTGTGTAATTTCTAGGCTTGGTGATGTCACTGGTTTCAAGATAAGAGTTTGCAGTTCAGTGGGAGCTGAAAGAAGAGGGTGTAAGTTGTCAAAGTAATTGTGGATAATTTATTTCACAGGATTTAGACAAAGGTAGCAACATGTAGGTCTTCAAAATTGCAGGGTATGGAGAGACATGCAGAATACGAATTATTTAAAACAGAAATTGGCAAATTTTGACCCTCTCCAATCCAGCCCTCTTCCTGGCCTGTGAGCTAAGAATGGTTTTTACATCTTTAAATGCTAGAAAAAAGTTAACAGTGATATTCTGTGACATGTAAGACTGGTATGAAATTCAAATAAATTTTTACTGCAACAGAACCACACCTACCAACTAAGATTCAAGGCATATTTACTTATCACTTATATCCTGGGTTTGGTTATCTTCAAGCTCCAATAGCAGAACTGAGTAGTTGTGACAGAAACTGAATGATCTGCAAAGTCTAAAATATTCACCATCTAACTCTTCATATTAAAAAATTTACTGATTTGCTGATCCCTGATTTTCACCATCCTTCTAGAAAAAACAAGAGCCTATTTGAAAAAATTAGGTTCTCAGTGACTACTGTTATCTGTATCTAAATTCTCACAAGGGCTTTCTAAGAGTTTCCTACAGCTGATTTCATGACAGTAACATCAACAAAATGTTCCATATCATCTGGTAGTGTTCTGTTCTGTGTTCCAATTTGACCACCCCATTGGGTATCCTCAGTAGGTGTTAAATTATTTGGTTTTATTTTGCTGTTCTCACCATTCCATCCACTAATTCTAATCCTACTTATTTCAAAGCCCAACTATTCTCTCTCAGCCCACACAGATCCTTGACTCCTTCAAATATTTTCTCTATTTTTTAACCAAACAAGCTGCTTTTGTATAAGCAAACTGTCTTATATCTAAGAAAAACTCAAGAACTGGTTTTCTTCACAATTATATTGCACTTTGTTCAAGAGGTAAAACATGCCCTTACTTTTGATCTCCACCTCTGTTCCACACCCCATGCCACTCAACTGCTAATATGGTGCTGGGACCACAGAGGGCAAGAAAATGTCTGTTTACCTAAGCCAAAGAAAGAGTGCTATTTTAAAAAGACTTGCATGGAGCAGAGTGATCAGAGAACTGAATAAGATACATCTTTTGTCAGAGAAAATCCTTACGCATTTGACCACCTTAGAGATTTCCTCCAAGAGTGAACCTTCTGGTCAATAAGCAAGCGTAGAGGTGCTAACCACTCTATGCACCTTCTCTCTTAGAGGGCATGGAGGTGGGAGGTGCCAGTTAGCAAGCCACAACACTTACTTTTGGGACACACCTGCAATGGGCTGGAAGGACTGTTTAAACCAAAATCATTCGATTTTCCTGGTTTCAACTCTAAAGCTTTGAGAAATTTAAAGCTTGGCAGAAGGATATTTTCCCCCACGTTTCAAAATTAAAAGAAGAAAATCTTGAGCTGCTATTGTATTTGTAGGTTTGGAAACCATCAACAGCAAAGTACAGGGACCAATGTTTTCTAAAATATTAGATTTTCTTGAGTTTATTGTCTAAGTTTGAAAAATTTTATTTTAACAAGCTAATTTGTTCCTTATCACTGAGGATTTTTAGACCAAAATAATAACAAAATTTGATAAAGATATAGATATTAATATGTGTAATTAGATACTCAGAGAGATTCCTCCTTAGTACAAGTTCAGAACCAATGCTGAACTATAAGTAAAAGCCACATGCATTGATGATGAGGAAGCCTATAACTTCTGTTCACTAGAATTGATACTTTCGGGAAGCAACTTTTTTTTTGGATAATTAAATTTAACAAGGAAACTTCATTCCTCAAAATAGGAAGAGAATAATGAGACTATCACAAAAATCTGATAGAAAGTAAGTTGCTCAGAGAAATTTCATTGTACTTAATTATCATCATTTTACAGATCTAAATACCAACTATTTAGCGCAACAGTCTGGGCTTCAGACTCTTCACTGAATCACAAAATAAAATGTTAAAGGGGGTTTCATGGAAGATAGATATCCTCAGCTGAATCCAGGGACATCTGTTAAAAACAACAGGTAGCACTTGAATTAAGACTCCTGACTACTTATAAGACGAAGTACGAAACAGAATTACAACAGCAGCCTAAGGAAGCAGGAGCCACTCTGGCCATGACAGTGATGAAGCGGCTTTTTAGCAAGTGGAAAAGCATTTAATGAGGTCACAAAAATCATTACCTAATGTTGTTTCTGGAGCTTCAGAACTATGAACAACAGGTTCAAAGCTTGTAGCAGGAACTATCCAAAAACAACATGAGCACAGGAAAGTTTAAACACTCACAGAAAGTCTTTAACTTTTCTTTCAAAATGTTAGCTCAAATGACAAGCAATTTTTTTTAAACTTTTGAATTCACAGAAAGCTGTCTCTGTAGCTAGAAACAATTCCTTGCAGAAGGTAAGCACAACCTTTGAACTCTGCTATGAATCTCAGTATCATCAACACGAGGCTTTCCTAGGAAGGGTGTTTGATTTTCTGGTTCTAATAATGAAAGCTTGGTTTGTTCAGGCGATATACAGGAAAAAAAATATGAAAGTAATGTTGCATTTCTTGGAAGCGGAAAAAAATAACTATGTTTATGTACTCTTGGCTATAATAAATAGATTACATACATTTAGATGTAGATATAGCCATAAATAACCAAGAGTGATTATGCCAATCTTGCTATAAATAAGAGACACCAAGAACCTCATCCAGGAAGCAACTCCTAACCATACCTCAATGCCTTGACTCTTAGGGAACATGAAGGATATTACTGCCCATCAGAGGCATTGCACTGGGACAGACTGCTAGGGCTCATCCCTCAAACCATGGAATACCACATTTACCCAGTTTGGTCTGAGATGCTTCAGGGCTTGGTGTGGTTTTAGGTCTGGGACGTGGATGGCGAACTCGTGATGTTTTAGAAGCTGAAGGAAGAAATGCTGGATTACTCTAGTGAAGGTGGTTTTGGAAATAACATTCTAGATTATCTAAACTATGTTACATTTTCTTGAAATTTAAGGCATATATTTTTAAGATTCAAATACTTTATCCTATTTTGTTAATGCTTTTATCACTGAAGATTCTTGAGAGGTAAAACTCACACATAAAAGAATCTTGTAAATCTATAACTTTAAGAAAGGTAAGACTATAATCAAACCGTAGGTGGTTCACACTAACAAATTTAAATATGTCAAAAAATCCATGGTACTATAGAAATTGTTATGATTTAGTAGAGAGTACAAAGACATTACCAATTTGTTTTAAATTCAGCTTTAAATGCGATCACAGTTTAGGCGAAAGTATGTGACACAAATTCAAATCAAATTACATGGTAGACAGATATTCTGTCCATGCTTTCCTTTTAAAACCAACAGGTAGCTTCTTTTTAGAATCTTCAGTACTCTTAATAAAAAGAAAAATAAAGTTGAAGAACAGCAAAGGATGATCAGACCGTCTTATGAAGCTGGTGATAATGTGATTATGATGATGATGGAATGGGTTGACAATGAGCAGGAGAAAAAGTGTTGAGGAACATAGAATATCATTACCTAATGTTGTTTCTGGAGCCTTGGTTCTAAGAGTGACAGGTTCAAGGACTGTAGAGAAAACTGATCAAAAATAATAAAATAAATGAGAGATTTTAAAAACTCATTTGAAGACTAATTGCAGATACTAACTACTATATATAAAACAGATAAACTACTATATATAAAAGATAAAATAGGTCTACTGTATAGCACAGGGAACCACATTCAATATCTTATAGTAACCTATAATGAAAAAGAATATGAAAATGAATATATGTATGTATTTGTATGACCAAAATATTATGCTGTACACCAGAAAATGACACATTGTAAACTGACTATACTTCAATAAAGTCAATTTTTAAGCTTCAGAACTGAGAGAAAAGAGACACACACTTGCTCTTTGCAAATTTGACCAAATTGTGGCCACTATCCATTAATCTCATAAATAAACATAGCATTGCACCTTGCTCAGTACTTGGTCAGCAAGAATTGTAGATGTTTGACTAGCTGACTCTTGCTAGTATAAAGATTCTGATGGACAAGTCTTTTATACATTTATATAATATATACTTTCCTAACTCTACTAGAAAATGCATTTATCAGTCTACTTATGCTTCTATGCAAGTTGAGATAAATGTCCACTATTTTGTCTACTATTTCAACACTCATGTGTATAATAATGAGTTCATATGTTTGGACGGATAAGGAGCAATGTGACGAATAGAGTGTGGTCATCAAAACTTCAAAGTGGCCCCTGATTCGATAAACGTAAAGAAACTCTGTCAAGCCCTGTTAGAGAAGGAGAAAGAGTCAGCCTACTCTCTCGTGAAAACCCATCATTTAAGTGTTCAAGACTTAGGCACACTTAAATACTTGACCATTAACTAAAAACATCATTCCCTGAAACAACAGATCCACAAAAATAATCACATAGATTCTAATCTGATAAAAAGTAACATGATCAAAGAAACATGGTATTATCACAATTGATGAGGAAAAGGCAAGTGATCAAAATAAGGGATAGATGGAAATTCACGTTTGGAAGGAAGCTTAAAATAGCCAGTGTTGTTCTAACAAATGTACATGATCACATGATATAATGTTGAGCAGTTTCCTGGCAGTTGGACATCCTGAAATTAGTATATACCCAGTTCTCTTAAGCTCAACAGATAACTTGACACAGAGCTTAGCATAGCTGCAAGATGAAGACTGCAATGGAATGACAACAGAGTATAGAAATGGTTTTAAGGTGCAGGAGAACTTGTGGCTACAATGGTATGACAATGAGCAGGAAAAGCACTATTTGAAGATTTCTGGAGCTTCAGTTCTAGGAGTACCAGGTTCAAGATCTGTAGTAGGAACCAGTCAAAAGCAATAAAATAAACACTTGTGAAAAGTCAGCAAATTAAATCTCACCAGTAAAATATTGCTTCAATAGGTATGTAACAATCTGAAATTTTTTTCTGAAGTTACATACTTATTTAAAGATTTGTTCACCTAAAGCTAGGTAAATGTTCTTTTATGAGACAGTTTCATAGCCTACACAATCTGGTAAATATCTCAATAGAATCAACACAACATTCTCCTAGGTGTCTAAGCACCTAATTCCAGTCACTGTAGAAAACTGACCTAGGAAACTTGTTTAAACATCTTACCAAATATATATTCATATAACTGTTCTGGCAATTGTTGGCTTTTCTGTAGAAGTTTTAAGATAAAAGGACGTTTAGTTTTCATCACAAGAAAAAGATATATTTCTTCTATTTCTTTAATTTTGCATCTATATGAGATGATGGATCAAACTAAGTAAAGTTACTGTGGTAATCATTTCATGACGTATGTAAGTCAAATCATTGTGCTGTATACCTTAAACTTCTAAGTGCTGTATGCCAATTAGATATCAATAAAACTGGAAGAAAAAAAATAGCATGTCTAGAGAAGCCTAGATAAAATAGCTTTTATGTTTGAAAGGAGGCATAGAAAAGAATTAAGCAAAGTGAACCTGGTAGAGCTTGTTGAGAACTCATATTTGGAAACAGGCTGAGACCTTGTTTGAGGCAAAGTTACTCAGCAAATCAGGATAAGGAACATCTAGTGTATGGAGCCCTGTAGAGCAACTCTCTGCCCTAATCATAAAAATGGGCACCCTGTATAGGTGGGAGAGACTGTCACAGGAGAGACCACTGATGCTTCTAGGGTCAGGTGCAGACTTCTGAGTCATACCTTCAAGGACTTTCCTCAGCTGCTCTAATGGACCCTTCCAAACTCAGCACTACCATCATCACTTAGAAGCAGAACCTCCCTTGTGCAGAAGCCTGTCGTCTCTGGTTGGTCTCTCTACCTCCTTTCTTTCTTTCTCTGTTCTCCATGATTTTAAGACTCAATTACTTTCCGACTCTTTATTCCCGTCCTTCACAAACTTTCCTCTCTTTAAGCTCAGAGATGCTTACAACGCCCGCAAAACACAGCTCAATTTGTGCAGACATACTGCCTTGGTTCAGTCTTTAAATGTTTCACATCGGGGCAGGTTCTGAATCTAATGATACTACAGACTGAGAAGTAAACACAAGCTGCCTACTTCTGTGATATTGTCACAGCTGTCGATGGGCTGTGGGATGATGGAAGGCACTGCATGTTTGTTTCTTGAAACAAAAACACTTGGTTCCATTTAAGACACTTTGTCTTTAAGAATGGAATGAAATAAGAAAAAGTAAAAAAAACACATAGTAAGAGAGTAAGTCCTTAAGGATAAAGCACAAGGTATTCAGCTGCCACACAAGTCTCCACCATCATGTTTTCCTCTGCGACCTCATTGTGGGAGGCAGCAGCAGATCACTTTGTGAGCTTCCCCGCAGACGGCTCACCGGGGCTATCACTCTCACTACCAGCGTCAACCCCAGACTCCCAAGGGCTGCAAGGACTCACTCCTTTAACAAGAAACCCACATTTACCCAGCTTGGCTTGAGGTGCCTCAGGAGTCGGTGTGGTTTTAAGTTTGGGACGTGGACGACGGGTCCGTTTTGATGTTTTAGAAGCTGAAGAGAGAAAACCTTCAGTTACTATGGAGTCGGTAGTTCAGAATCTATGGGTAGCATGATATGTGGCTCTAAATAATATAACTTACTACATTTCCTCCTATTTTAGGAAATGTGGCTTATAGACTTTTTAATTTAAAGCTTTCACCCTTATTATAATAGTATATATATATATATTTACAATTGAAAGTTCATTGGGAGTGAGTCATATATAAAAGTAAGTTACTTATTCAAGAAGTGAAGAATCATTTGTAGAACTCTTCTTTGAATAAAAAAGATAAGAATCACTTCTAATATATTTTGGCAGTGGTGATAGCCAGGTACAAACTCTTTTAGACAGTTTGCTAAAATCAGACCATGTAATTAACTAAAATGTCAGTTAAAGAACAAATACCACATGGATAGTTAAAAAAAAAAACAAAACAGTAGACCTTTAGATCCACAAAGAACCCCCCTGACAACATAACAGTTATTAGAGTCAAGAGAACTGCTTTAGAAATCCAGCTTTAACAAAACATTGGTTAAGAAACACATAAGATGATGAAAGCAATTTCAGATGGTTACATGTACAACAGTTGACCTGAGTTAGGTTCATGCATGGCTCTCTTAAAAACAAGGGATGCCTTATTTTAAGAGTCAGAGTCTTCAGTGCTTTTAGGATGAAGAATATAATGGAGTGACAATAGAGGAGGAGGATGGAGCTTATGAAGCAAAAGAACTTGTAGCTATGCTGTTGATGGAATGAACCTGACAATGAGAAGGAAAAGCACTTACTGAGAATCAGAATGTGTTATTACCTTTTGTTGTCACCCAAGCTTCAGTTCTGAACGTAACAGGTTCAAAGTCTGCAGTGGGAACTGACCAAAAGTATTATAAATAAGCCAAGTGATTGTTTTAAATAAAAGAAAACTCAAAACATTTACTTCAAAAAGAATCTCAAGTTTCTAGTACTACATAGCAACTTTTAAAAACAGTTAAACTAGAAAAGTAAACAGCTGATTTCCTAAAATTTGGCCATACCTAAGTCAGGTATCTATTTTCTTATTCCTCCATCTTTGATTATTTGATTGTAATTAATAAGCCCAAGTGGGATCTGTGGTTATTGCTAAGAACTTATCTTTGGAAAGAGACTGAACTCCTTTTATATCATCTTTTATCATAAAATACTTTTTGAAGACAAAAACCACCTTTTAATTTAAGAAATATAGATTAGGAATGATAAAGTCTCACAGAGGAGCTTGATTGGGCAAAAAAAGGTTAAGAACTGGTGCTCAATTTGAATGGATAATGAAGGAAGGTCTCACTAAATCTGAGATGCACAATTTAATCTTTCAATCTTTGGTACCTGTTCCATATTAACTAGTAAAATAAGAACATATTATTACCGAAATAGAAACAAAACAACAAAATATTATGCAAGTCGGAAAAGGGTAGAAACACAGATGGGCAGTGAATGGATCCTCTTGGCCTTATGAGAGCTATTAATGGCTTTATCTGTCTAGACAGAAGTAGATCTGTGCTAAGTTTGAAAACCAGTTTTACTACAAGCACTGCTGCAATGAAACACAGAATGGCACTATTTCAAATAGGCTACATGGCAAATAAGTGTCCTGAAGTAAGTTCCTGCAGGACTTGTTCTATGAAAAACAGCCAGTAACTTATGAGTTTTCATAATTTTAAGAGGAAAATAGATGAACGACCACAAAGAATAAAAGCACTGTCACACGAAGCAAGGTGAAACCCTGGGTCTGACAATAAGCAGGATGAAGCTTGTTGAAAACAGGGTCATTACCTAATGTTGTTCCTGGGGCCTCTGGTCTAAGAGTGACAGGTTCAAGGTCTGTGGGAACTGACCAAAAAATAATAACAGTAAATCAAAGAGATTTAAAAATACATGAAAACTTAAAACATTCACATCCCAACAAAACTTGCTTGTGTATCATCCTTTCTACAGAAACAAAGAAACAAAAAATAATTGAGAGAAAGAGTAGATGACTGTTCTTTGAAGATTTGGCCAAACTATAGTCATGATCAATCTTAGGCTTAGCCTTGGAACTATCTCGACAATCTTAAACATGAAATTCTCCTAGTTTTTAGCTAATGGATTATAATTAATATGGAAAACTCTATCCTGGAAAATATTTTTAGGCATTTACCTAACAGTGAGAAAAGAAACTCTCTTTAAAATAATCTGATCAACCTGTACTTCTGTAGAAGCTGAAAATGAGCACTTACTGCTTTCAAGTAAACATGGGCACAAGAGACAGTGTAAGTTTGAAATAGACATAAGAATTACTGGTTGAAGTAGACTCTGCTGATCTTGTCAAGAATTCATCTATGGAAAGAGTCTGAGACCTCTGCCCAAACCATGGCACATAAAAGAGCAGGATAAAGATGGTTACTCAGGCTGTAAAACTCAGTAGAGCACCTCTCTGGCCTAAGACCAGAAAAAGTGGAAATCAAAGACAGTTGCTGTCTCTGTGTCAAACCTAAATTCCTGAATCAGGTCCTCAAAATCCTCTTTCAACTGGTCAAATGGACCCATCCCAATGCAGCATCGTCAACGGCCATGTTTTGACCACCTAAAGTAGGACAGTCTGTTCTGGGCACCCCCCTCCCCAGCCCCTAACCACCACATGTCCTGTCCTGCCCTGGTCCACGTTTCCCTCCACTCATTCAAATTCTGTAGTGGGCCCCAAGTCCAAGGTCCAAGTCCAGTCCACTTCGATCTTTCCCTTCGTATCATGCAAACATATTCTCAACGTTACTGTTTTAGAACTAAAGTAAGTCTCCTACAGCTAGCACATCACCCACAGTTGCCAATATTGGTCCAGGAATATGCAAGGGACTTACAATTTGTTTATTCACTTGAACTGAATCTACAGGCTCTGCTAAAGAAGTTTTACCTTTAAGATGCAAGTGGAATTCGACAGTAAGAAATATACTACATGTATATCAAAGAAGACTCTCACATGGAAAGAGTAAGGTATTCTGGTACCAACTGTATTTCATCCAGTCATATTCTCCCAGACACCTGGGTAGAGGAGACATCACTGATGCCACCGCATGACGTCATGCTTAGAGAGAATAAGAGCTTGGCACTGCTCTGGGTTCTCACTGGGACAGGCTACTAGGGCTCACCCTTAAACCAAGGAATCACACATTTACCCAGTGCGGTCTGAGGTACTTGAGCGCTCCAAGTGGCTTTAGGTCTGGGATGTGGACAAAGAGGTCTTTGTGATGCTTTGGTAGCTAAAGAAAGAATAGCCTTTGTTATTCTATGTCTTATGGCTCCAGATGCTAAAGGAGAGGTTTTTCCAAACCCTATTAGATTTTTCAAAGTTCCATGAAATTGTAGTTTAAAAGTTTCACTCCTTTTATGCCAAAGCATCTTGGTTTTATCAGAGGGTACTTTGGAGGCAAACTCATGAATATAGTCAAGTTACTCATTCAAGGCATGAAAATTAGCACTTGTAATGAGATACGCATAGAACTTCCTCATTGGGAAAAAAGATTAAGAAGGAAGACTCAGTTCTGGTGCAAGGGGAGGGGAAGAAAGGGTCACACTAAGGAAAAGGCTTATAATTTAAAATTTCAGAATTGGATAATTTCCTATCTATCAAATTAGTAGTAAAATACATCAGTACGTAAAACACCAACGAAGAAACAAACATACCATGCAAACAGTTTTTTAAAAGTCTAGAAACTTAGATGTGCAAAGGAGCTTAAGAAAAGCTATTATTGCTGGTCAGCTTAGGTCAGAAATAGATCCCAATTTGCTGCAAACTCAGCTTTAATACAAAACACTGTTCAATGAAGCACAAGACAACGTGACAATGTCAAATGCGCTATGTGGCAGGTAAATGTTTTGAACTCAGCTCATGCCTGCTCTCGTAAAAACAGGAAACTTGTTTTTAAGAGGCTTCCGCACTCTTCAGATGAAGAAAGTGACTGAACGGCAATGAAGGATGGTCATCGCGTGAAAGAGGAAAAGCCACATGATGGGGGTGGAGACTTAATGGACCAGACGAGCAGCAGAAGTACCAGGGAGGGGCACAGGGTCATTACCTAGTGCTGTCCCAGAGGTCTCCGTTGTAAAAGTAACAGGTTCAAGGTCTGTAACAGGAACGTAATAAACAAAAGAGTTCAATCTTTAATGTATGAAGAGCCATAATGTTCACTTCAAAATGAATCCTGCCACTGTAACACTGCCTCTAGAATAACCTTTAAAATTTTTTTGAATGAAAGGTGTTAGGGACTCAGTTGTGTCTCCCCAAAATCTGTATGTTGAAGCCCTAACTCCCAAGGTGACTATATTTGGAAATAGGGCCTCTGAAGATGCAGTTAAGGTTAAATGAGGTCATAAAGGTGGGGCCCTAAGCCAACAGGACTAATGTCCTCAGAAGAGGGAGCAACACCCGGGATGTGCATATGCAGAGAAAAGGCCAGGGGAGGACACAGTAAGACGGTAGCCACCTATAAGCCAAGGAGAGAGGCCTCAGGAGAAATTAAACCTGCTAATACCCTGATCTTCCAGCCAACAGAGCGGTGAGAAATAGATTTCTTCTGTTTCAGCTCCCTAGTCTATGACATTTTGGTACGGCAGCTCTTGCAAACTAACAGAAAAAGAAATCAATTGTTTTGCTCACACTTGCCCAAACTTCAGTAAGGATTTCTTCATCTTACGAGATAGTAATTACCTTTGGTCTCTGTTTAGCAGCACAAGAGGAAAACAGTTCCTGTAGTTAGTACTTGATGATCTGAATCTACTGTGGTAGACTTTAGGATAATTTTAGGTATTTGCTTAAATACATTTCTAACAAACCTCAAGAAGCATATGAAAAACTAACCTATACGTCTGTGGATGCTGAATTTAAAAAATCTTCTATGCATATCAAATTATGGTTGCAGAAAAAGTTCCCAAAGAACCAAGCAGACATTACACTAATAGCCAAAAATAGCTATAGTAATCTTGCTGAGAAAATTCAGCTTTGGAAAGATCTTGAGACTTCTGTCCAAACAAGAAGACTAAGTAAGGGGCAGCCGCTCATCCTGTGGCATCCAGTGAAGCATGTGTCCACTCTCAGTGCAGCAAACATTATCCAAGTGTGGGAAGAAGAGGTTTCTGATGCTCATTAAGAATAACATCAATCTCATTCAACTTCCCACATTGTCATTCAAATGCATCATCCCAACAAAAATGTTTTGCCTGGCACTTAGAAGCAGCAGGAACTCTGCCCACCTCCGGCTGTATGCACATACATCCTATTATTTCATCTTTGCTCACGCTCACCTCTCCAGTTGTGCAACTTCTGATATGATTTCAAGGCCAAAACTCCTTCCCTGATGTATTGAAATCCATATTGATTTTACCTCTTTAAGACCTGCTATAGAGGTGTGAGATGGAAGAACTTGGGGCCCCTAAATCGCCAGTTAGGCAAGAACTATAGGCACCCATTTTGGATTACACATGAGTTAGAGGTAAAATATTACATACTGTCCGTTTGAAAAAAGGATTTAACAAGTCTAACATTTAATGTTTAGGTACCTAAGAAAAATCTTTATTTTTGAAAACACACCCTGCCATATTTTCATTCTCTAGGCTTTTCATGCAGTAAAATAATTGTGCTCAACTATCCTGCACAATGAAAAGTGTAACACATCCCCCACTACCTAGATTCAGAGAAAAGATTATGTCTCTTCCAAACATGAACTCCTTGTGAAGCCAAAAATCATTTCACGATTCCCTCACTAGCGGTATGTGGTGGTACATTTTCAACCAGTGACAGGCTACCAGGCTCCTTAAACCAAAAACCCTCCTTTGGTCTGGTGTGGTCTCAGCTAGATGTGGGCTTGGTATGGTTTTAACTTTGTGTTGTGAATGATACGTTCATTGGCATGTTTTTGGAAGTAGAAGATAAACTTTAGATACTTTAAAGCTTAAGCTTCTGCAAATTATAGGTTTTTGAAAAAAAATCTTCTTTAAGTTCTCCAAAACTTGATCAATTTTCCTTAGTTTGAGGAAATGTATCTTTATAGTCTGCAAGTTTGCCTCTACCATGCTATTGTATCTTCCTCTGTTATTGAAGGTATTTAGGGGACAAAGTTGACATATAAAATGAAGTTATTAATTCAGATAGCCAAGAATGACTTTTATCACATCCTAGAGTTCCCTGACTGCATTTAAAAGGGTAAGAATCATTTCTAAACTATAGAGGAGGATAAAGGGGAATCAGATTCACCTCAAGAATGGGGCTTACCATGAAAACTTATTAGCCTTCATCACATTATCTGTTAGAAAATTCACTAAAAATGTATTATCAAATGTTGATGAAACAACAAAAAAGTAGGCAGATTAAAAACAAAAGGCAGGTGTACAAAGAATATGAAAAGAGACTTCCCAGTCACAAACTGGTTAGCACAGATCAGGATCAGGGTTCTCCTAAACAGATAAAATTTATCTTAACAGAGAACACTGCTTGAGCTCAGAGCACTAAATAGCATGAAAAAAAATGTAAATAAATTCACAAGGCGGGTAAATATCCCAAACTAGCTCCAGAGCTGGCTCCCTTTAGAATAAGAGGTAACTTGTTCATGCATGTTTAACTCTCAATAATGTAACTGAACAGCAGTGGAGTGGAAAGAGCAGAGGGTTAGGCAACTAGCAGAAAAAGTACTTGCTGAAGGTCAGAAAGCAGCATTACCAAATGCTGTCGCTGGAGCCTCTTTTATAGGAGTAACTGGTTCAAAGACTGTAGCCGGAACTGACCAAAAATAGTAACAACAACAAAAAAATGAATGTTAAACATTTACACAATCTCAGAGGGAAATGGTGTATCTGCACGCAGGTACCAATTTATCCCTTAGGAGGGGCTGTCTATGTACTCAGATAACTGTCCCTGAGAAGTGCCCTAGAAGTTCTTCATTCTGTGATGATGCTCATCTAAGTAATGGACCAAAGTAGACCTACCCATCTTGCCAAAAACTCCTCTTTGGAAAGAGACCATGAACTTGGCCCATCTGGGCTCCTTAAGAGAACAAGGTAAGAGGCAGCCATTCATTCTGTGATGCAGCCGTATGCCTCTGTCCCTCCCCAAGGGAAAGTGTACCCAATATGGACACTGATGATGCTCATGTGAAACCCAAAGTTCTAAGATCAATATTAAAAATTACTTTCAACTGGTCCTATGAACCTGCTGAGCTGTAGGGGCTTCAATAAAGTACTCTGATCAGCACTTATAAGCCTGGGAACTTTTATAGGTCAGAGAAGATCCTGTCTCCCTTCACTGGTCCGTCTCCTCTAATGTCCTGTCTTTCTGATCCTATTCAACCTTCATCCTCCAGTTACCAAATTTAGTGATTTCAATGCTCAAGTCCTTCCAAACTATTCTGGCCAACCCGGACTGTTTCTTTAAATCACGAATTAAACTATGGCCCTGAGGCTAAATCTTGCCCGTGCCGTGTTTTCATACACCCCACTTCCAAGTTCAAGTGATTGTTAAAAAAAAAAGAAAAGAAAAACAAAGAGAAAAATATGTGTCAGAGACTATTTGGGTCACAAATCCCCAGTATTGACTGCCTTGCCCTCTATAGACAATACTTCCCAACTCCTGCCCTAGGGCTGTACCATGAGTTATACACCACCAATGCATCACCCTGCAGATAAGTATTTTAAACTAAGTTCCAACTTGACTCTCTTAAAAATCAATGAGTTGTTATTACTCTTCAATATATTAAACAGTAACAGAATGACAATAGACAAGAACACAAGAGTCTTGTGAAGCAGGAGAAGATGACGTTATGACGGTGATGAAATGATGAAATGGGTATGAAATGAGCAGAAGCGGATGCTGATGGACATAATGTGTCATTTACCTACTGTCGTCCCAGGAGCCTCAGTCCTAAGAATACCTGGTTCACGGATTGTGGCAGGAACTGATCAAAAGTAATCAAAGAAATCAAAGATTTTTGTGAATGCAAGGAATGTCAGCAAAGTCATCCTACTGGTAACAATAATGCTTCTAAGGGAGAAGGGGGAGGGGGAGGATGGATGACACACACAAGCTGTAACACCAAGAGGCAGGAACTCTGGAGGGGGAAGGGGTGGTGATGGGGATGAGGGGGTTATCCTGGGTTCTGTCCTCCACACATAGAACAGAGCTGAAAAGAAGCCTAGACTCTACTCACTAGGTGACTAAGTCCTTAGTGAAAACAGTGGCATTTAATATATTAAGGCGAGAAACAACCTCTCAGATTGTGGTATCACAGTGGACTCGGCATCTCCAGTGCTAAGCAAAGCAAAAGCAGGGGCCTGGCTAGAAGTAAGGATCACTGAAGGCCACTGGATCACACTTGAGCTCTTGAGTAGACATTCCAGCCCCCTTTAATTCACCCTACAGACCTTACCAACAGGTGCACATCAACAAGTCAACCTCCGTCTGGGACACTGGCTTCCTTCAGCACATTCCCTGTTTATGAGTCTTGTTGCCTCATCCTTCCACTCATCCAAATTCTGTACTAATTTTTCCTAATTATCCTGGATCTTTTCCCTCTCCAAGTACTTATTCTACTTCTAGCATAAGCATTTGGACTATTTGAGACATTATCTTACATTTGTATCAACATGCTGCCTTATGCTATTTTCTACCTGTTTACAAAAGATAAAGCTTTTGTTTACAACTATAGTACAAAATGATAGGGAAAGAAAACATAATGCCTACTTCTATGTGTCTCCCAGCTGCTAATATGGTTATGAGGATACAGAAGGATTTAATAGTAAGAGTAGCTTTTACTATTAAGGGATATATAACATAAAGACCTGTACCAATTATGTGCTTAGAATTTAGGGTTCCAACTAAGGTAGAGGCTTGGATTCCTTAACCCAGAAACCACATATTTACCCAGTTTGGTCTGAGCTGCTTCTGGACGGGGTGTGGTTTTAGTTTTGGGACGTGGACGACGAGGTCTCTTTGTTGTTGTTGGTGGTGCTGAAGGAAGAAAATTTAGGATTAATATGGTGCTGATGGCTCCATTAACTTGAACAGAATTATGTAACATGGCTCTAAGCTTTCTAAAACTGGCCGGAGTTTCTTTGAGTGGAGACAGCTTTGTTACTTCCGTTTGATATTTTCCTCTTTAATAGATTGAAAGGTGTTCCTTTTAATTAAGAATACTTTAGACATTAAAAGTTACATTAAAGTTACGTTTAAGATGATTGTGAAGCTACACATTTCTTTACAGTTGCTCCCTGGGGGTGTATGGTGGTACATTTTCAGCCCGTGACAGGCTACCAGGCTTCTCAAACCAAGGACCCTGCTTTGGTCTGGTGTGGTCCCAGCTACACCTGGACTTGTGGTGGTTTTAGGTTTGTGTTGTGAATTATACGTCCATTGGGAAGTTTTTGGAAGTAGAGACAATAAAGTTTAGTTCCTTAAAGCTTATGCTTCTGCAAATATTAGGTTTTTTTAAAAAAAAAACTAAGTTCTCCAAAGCTTGGTAGACTTCACTCTGCTTCAGGAAATGTAAGTTCCTAGTCTGAAAAGTTTGCCCCTACCCTGCTGCTGTATCTTCCTTTCATATTGAAAGTATTTTGAGGACAAAGTTGACATATAAATTGAAGTTATTAATTCAGAAAGTCAGAATTGGTGTTTTTATCACATTCTAGATGTCTCTGACTGCATTAAAAAGGTTGAGAACCATCTAAACTATGGTGGAGGGTAAGGGCAGTTAGATTCACCATAAGAGGGGAGCTACTATGTAAACTTATTAGACTTGATCACATTCTCTGTTAGACAATTCACTGAAAACATACCACCTGAATGTTAACAAAAGAACAAAAAAATGAGGCAGATAAAAAAAAAGGCGGCTATACAAAGGATATGAAAAGAGACTTCCCTGCCATGGGCTGGTTAGCACAGATCATGATCAGGGTTCTCCTAAATAGATAAAATTTACCTCAACAGAAAACTCTAGTGGAGCTAACAACATTAAATGACATGAAAAAATTTTAAATAGGTTAAAAGGGTGGGTAAATATACCAAACTAGATCCAGGCATAGATTTCTAGTTTTTAAAACAATAGGTATCTTACTTTATGCATGTTTAACTCACAAGAAAAAGAATGTAACTGAACAGCAATGGAGTGGAAAGAGCAGAAGTTTGGCAACGAGCAGAAAAAGCACTTGTGGAAGGTCAGAAAGTGACATTACCAAATGCTGTCGCTGGAGCCTCTTTTATAGGAGTAACTGGTTCAAAGACTGTAGCCGGAACTGACCAAAAATAATAACAGTAAAAAATGAAATGTTAAACATTTATACAATCTCAGAGGGACATGGTGTATCTGCTCTCGGGTACCAATTTATCCCTTAGGAAGGGCTGTCTTTGTACTCAGATAACTGTCCCTGAGAAGTGCCCCAGAAGTTCACATTCTGTGATGATCCCCGTCTAAGTAATGGGCCAAAGTAGACATACCCATCCTCCCAAAAACTCATCTTTGGAAAGAGATCATGAACTTGGCCCATCTGGGGTCCTTAAGAGAAGACGATAAGGGGCAGCCATTCATTCTGTGGTGCAGCCATATCCCTCTGCCTTACCCCAGGGAAAGTGTATGGGGTATGGATACTGATGATGCTCATGTGAAACCCAAAGTTCTAAGTCCAGTAGTAAAAATCACTTTTCAACTGGTTCTATGAACCCACTGAGATGCAGGAGTGTCAATAAAATATTCTGATTAGTACTTAGAAACCTGAGAGCCTTTATCAGTCAGAGAAGCCTCTGTCTCCCCTCACTGGTCTCCTCTCATGTCCTGTCTTTCTGATATACTTCATCCTTTATTCTCTGGTTACCAAATCTAGAGTGACTTCATGGCTCAAGTCGTTCCTAACTCTTCTGGCCAACCCTGACTGTTTCTTTAAACCAGAAGTTGACAAACTCTGGCCCTGAGGCCAAAACTTGCCCATGGCTTGTTTTCATACAGCCCATTTCTATCTTTAATTTGTTGTTTAAAAAAAAAAGAGAGAAAAAAAATGTATCAGAGACTATTTGGGCCTCAAATCCCCAATATTGACTATCTTGCCCTTTGTAGACAATACTTGCCAACTCCTGCCCTAGGGCTGTACCATGAGTTATACACCACAAATGTATCACCCTGCAGATACATATTATCAACTAAGTTCCTACTTGACTCTCTTAAAAACCAATGAGTTTTTTTTCTAACACTTTTCAGTACATTAAGAGGTAAATAAGTGACAATTAACAAGAACACAAGATTCTCAAGAAGCAGAAGATGAGGTTATGACGGTGATGAAATGGGTCTGAAATGAGCAGAAGTAGATGCTGAAGGACATATTGTGTCATTTACCTACTGTCGTCCCAGGAGCCTCGGTCCTAAGAATACCTGGTTCACGGATTATGGCAGGAACTGATCAAAAGTAATCAAAGAAATCAAAGATTTTTGTGAATGCGAGGAATGTCAGCAAAGTCACCCTACTGGTAACAATAATGCTTTTAAGGGAGAAGGGGGGGGGAGGATGGATGACACACAAAAGCTGTAACACCAAGAGGCAGGAACTCTGGTGGTGGGAGACGAATGATTAGAGGGGTTGGGGTTATTCTGGGTTCTGTCCTCCACACATAGAACATAGCTGAAAAGAAGCCTAAACTCTACTAAGAGACTAAGTCCTTAGTGAAAACAGTGGCATTTAATATATTAAGGTGAGAAACATCATCTTATATTGTGGTATCATATTCTAGGCATTCTTCATATTCTAGGCATCTTCAGTTCTAAGCAGAGAAAAAGCAGGGGACTGGGTAGAAGTAAGGATCACTGAAGCCCACTGGATCACACTTGAGCTCTTAAGTGGACATCCCAGCCCCCTTTAATTCACCCTACAGGCCCATTCAACAGATGTGTATCAACAAGTCATCCTCTGGGACACCAGCTTCCTTCAGCACATTCCCTATTCCCTCATCCCTCCACTCATTCAGATTTTGTACTGATTTTTTCCTAATTATCCGTGATCTTTTCCTGCTCCAAATACTGCACTTCTAGCATAAGCATTTGGACTACTTGAGAAATCATCTTACATTTGTATCAACGTGCTGCCGTATGTTATTTTCTACTCGTTTATACCAGAGAGGCTTTGGTTTACAACTAGAGTAGGAAATGGTAGGGAAAGAAAACATAATGCCTACTTCTATGTGTCTCCCAGCTGCTAATATGGTTATGAGGATACAGAAGGGTTTACTAATGAGAGTGGCTTTTACTATTAAGGGATATATAACATAAAGACCTGTACCAATTATGTGCTTAGAATTTAGGGTCCCAACTAAGGTAGAGGCTTGGATTCCTTAACCCAGAAACCACATATTTACCCAGTTTGGTCTGAGGCATTTCTCGACGGGGTGTGGTTTTAGCTTTGGGACGTGGACGACGGGGTCTCTTTGTTGTTGTTGTTGTTGTTGGCGCTGAAGGAAGAAAATTTAGGGTTAACATAGTGCTACCGGCTCCGTTAACTCCGAGAGAGTGGTGTAACTGGGCTCCAAGCTTTCTAAGACTGGCCGGAGTTTCCTTGATCGGAGACAACTTTGGTTCTTGGGTTTCTACTTTTCCTCTTTAGTATTCTGATAGGTTTTCTTTTATAATTGGGAATTGTCTAGAGATTAAAAATTACAGTAAAATTCTGTTTAAGATCACTGTGAAGCCAAAAATCACTTCACCATTCGCTCCCTGGGAGTGTATGGTGTTACATATTCAACCAGTGACAGGCTACCAGGCTTCTCAACCACGGACCCTGCTTCGGTCTGGTGCATCTCAGCCACGCCAGCACATGGAGTGGTTTTAAGTATGTGTTGTGAATGATATGTCCACTGGGATGCTTTTGCAAGTAGAAAAAGATAAAGTCTAGTTACTTTAAAGCTTACACTTCGGCAAACTACAGGTTTTTAAAAAAACTTTAAGTTTTCCAAAGCCTAATAGATTTTCCTCTGTTTCATAAAATGTATCTTTCTTGACTGAAAAGTTTGCCCCTACCATGCTATTACACCTTCCTTTGGTTTTGAGACATTGCGGGGACAAAGTTGACATATAAAATGAAGTTATTAATTCAGATAGTCAAGATTGGTATTTTTATCATGCTCTAGAGGTCTCTGACTGCATTAAAAAGTTAGTCATTTCTAAACTAAGGTGGACAGTAGGGGGGAGTCAGATTCAACTTAAGGATGGTGCTTACTCTTTAAACTTCTTAGCCTTGATCACATTGTCTTTTAGACAATTCACTGAAAACATATTACCCAAATGTTTAACTTAACAACAACAACAACAAAAAACAGATAGACAAAAAAGACAGGTGTACAATGGATGGGTAAAGAGTACCCTGTCACAGGCTGGTTGGCACAGATCAGGATCAGGGTTCTCCTAAACACATAAAATTTACCTGACAATAGAATTCTGGTTGAGCTAAGAACATTAAGTGGCATGAAAAAAAATTTAAATAACTTAATAGGGCAGGTAAGTATCCCAAACTATATCTAGGCCTGGCTCCCTTTAGAACAAGAGGTAACTTGCTTTATGCATGTTTAACTCACAAGATGATTTAACTGAACTGCAATGGAGAGGCAAGAACAGAAGTTTGGTAAAGAGCAGAAAAAGCACTTGCGGAAGGTCAGAAAGTGGCATTACCAAGTGTTGTCACTGGAGCCTCTTTTATAGGAGTAACTGGTTCAAAGACTGTAGCAAACTGACTGATAATAATAATAATTAAAATATAAAGTGTTACACATTTAGACAGTCTCAGAGGGACGTGGTTTATCCGCACTCAGGTACCATTTATCCCTTAGGAGGGGTTGTCTTTGTACTTAGACAACTGTCCCTGAGAAGTGTCCCGTGAGTTCTTCATTCTGTGATGATGCTTGTCTAAGTAGTGGACCAAAGTAGACCTACCCATCTTGCCAAAAACTCATCTTTGGAAAGAGATCATGAACTTGGCCCAACTAGGGTTCTCAAGTGAACAAGATAAGGGGCAGCCATGCAGTCTGCGGCGCAGCCGTATCCCCCTGTTCCTCCCCAAGGAAAAGCCGACCAGGTGTGGATACTGACGATTCTTACGTGAAACTCAAAGTTCTAAGTTCAACAGGAAAAATTCCTTTTAAACTAGTCCTATGAACCCTGAGCTGCAGGAGCTTCAGTAAAAATGTTTTGATGAGCATGTAGAAGCCTGACAGCCTTTTATCAGTCAGAGAAACCTCTGTCTCCCCTCACTGGTCTCCTCTCATGTCCTGTCTTTCTGACCTTCTTCAGTCCCCATCTCCTAGTCAACCAAATCTATGGTGATTTCAATGCTCAAGTTCTTCCTAACTCTTCTGGCCAATCCGGACTGTTTCTTTAAACCAAACATTGACAGACTCTGGCCCTGAGGCCAAATTTTGTCCATGGCTTGTTTTCATACAGCCCATTTCCATTTTTAAGCGGTTGTTAAAAAGAAAAACCAAAAGAAAAAAATGTGCATCAGAGACATTTTGGGCCACAAAGCCCCCAATATTGACTGTCTTGCCCTGTAGAGACAATACTTGCCAACACCTGCCCTAGGGCTGTACCATGAGTTATACACCACAAATGCATCACCCTGCAGATACATATTATCAACTAAGTTCCTACTAGACTCTCTCAAAAACAAATGAGTTGTTTTTTTTTTAATACTTTTCAATACATTGAGAGGTAAATAAATGACAACAGACAAGAACACAAGATTCTCATGAAGCAGGAGAAGATGAGGTTATGACGGTGATGAAATGGGTCTGAAATGAGCAGAAGCGGATGTTGATGGACATAATGTGTCATTACCTACTGTCGTCCCAGGAGCCTCGGTCCTAAGAATACCTGGTTCACGGATTGTGGCAGGAACTGATCAAAAGTAATCAAAGAAATCAAAGATTTTTGTGAATGCGAGGAATGTCAGCAAAGTCACCCTACTGGTAACAATAATCTTTTAAGGGAGAAGGGGGAGGGGGAGGATGGATACAACACACAAGCTGTAACACCAAGAGGCAGGAACTCTGGGGGTGGGAGGGGGTGGTAGTAAGGATGAGCGGGTTATCCTGGGGTCTGTCGTCCAACATAGATCAGAAAGCTGAAAAGAAGCCCAGACTCTACTCACTAGGTGACTAAGTCCTTAGTGAAAACAGTGGCATTTAATATATTAAGGCGAGAAATAACCTCTCAGATTGTGGTATCACAGTGGACTCGGCATCTCCAGTGCTAAGCAAAGCAAAAGCAGGGGCCTGGCTAGAAGTAAGGATCACTGAAGGCCACTGGATCACACTTGAGCTCTTGAGTAGACATCCCACCTGCCTTTAATTCACCCTACAGGCCTTACCAACAGGTGCACATCAACAAGTCATCCTTTGTCTGGGACGCCGGCTTCCTTCAGCACATTCCCTGTTTATGAGTCTTGTTGCCTCATCCTTCCACTCATCCAAATTCTGTACTAATTTTTCCTAATTATCCTGGATCTTTTCCCTCTCCAAGTACTTATTCTACTTCTAGCATAAGCATTTGGACTATTTATCAACATGCTGCCTTACGTTATTTTCTACCTGTTTACAAAAGATAAAGCTTTTGTTTACAACTATAGTACAAAATGATAGGGAAAGAAAACATAATGCCTACTTTTGATGTGTCTCCCAGCTGCTAATATGGTTATGTGGATATAGAAGGGTTTAATAGTAAGAGTATGTTTTACCATTAAGAATGTATAGTATAAAGACCTGTATCAATTATGTGTTTAGAATTTAGGGTTCCAACTGAGGTAGAGGCTTGGATTCCTTAACCCAGAAACCACATATTTACCCAGTTTGGTCTGAGCTGCTTCTGGACGGGGTGTGGTTTTAGTTTTGGGACGTGGACGACGAGGTCTCTTTGTTGTTGGTGGTGGTGCTGAAGGAAGAAAATTTAGGATTAATATGGTGCTGATGGCTCCATTAACTTGAATAGAACGGTGTAACATGGCTCTAAGCTTTCTAAAACTGGCCGGAGTTTCTTTGAGTGGAGACAGCTTTGTTACTTCCGTTTGATATTTTCCTCTTTAATAGATTGAAAGGTGTTCCTTTTAATTAAGAATACTTTAGACATTAAAAGTTACATTAAAGTTACGTTTAAGATGATTGTGAAGCTACACATTTCTTTACAGTTGCTCCCTGGGGGTGTATGGTGGTACATTTTCAGCCCGTGACAGGCTACCAGGCTTCTCAAACCAAGGACCCTGCTTTGGTCTGGTGTGGTCCCAGCTACACCTGGACTTGTGGTGGTTTTAGGTTTGTGTTGTGAATTATACATCCATTGGGAAGTTTTTGGAAGTAGAGACAATAAAGTTTAGTTCCTTAAAGCTTATGCCTCTGCAAATATTAGGTTTTTTTTAAAAAAAAACTTTAAGTTCTCCAAAGCTTGGTAGATTTCACTCTGCTTCAGGAAATGTAAGTTCCTAGTCTGAAAAGTTTGCCCCTCCTCTGCTGCTGTATCTTCCTTTCATATTGAAAGTATTCAGGGGACAAAGTTGACATATAAATTGAAGTTATTAATTCAGAAAGTCAGAATTGGTGTTTTTATCACATTCTAGATGTCTCTGACTGCATTAAAAAGGTTAAGAACCATCTAACCATGGGGAAGGGTAAGGGGGAGTCAGATTCACCTTAACACAGGGGCTTACTATGTAAACTTATTAGACTTCATCACATTATCTGTTAGACAATTCACTGATAACATACCACCCAAATGTTTAAACAACAACAAAAACAGGCACATAAAAAAAGAGGCTGTTGTACAAAGAATGTATAAAGCAACTTCCCTGCCATGGGCTGATTAGCACAGGTCAGGATCAGAGTTCTCCTAAACAGATAAAATTTACCTTAACACAAACCTCTGCTTTAGCTGAAAATAGTAAGTGGCAGTGAAAATTTTTAAGCAATTTAAAGGTGAGGAAAATGTCCCTTGCTAGATCCAGGCATGGCTCTCTTTAGTACTAGAGGTAACTTTTTTTTAATGCATGTTTAACTCACAAGAAAAAGAATGTAACTGAACAGCAATGGAGTGGAAAGAGCAGAAGTTTGGCAACGAGCAGAAAAAGCACTTGCTGAAACCAGAAAGTGGCATTACCAAATGTTGTCACTGGGGCCTCTTTTATAGGAGTAACTGGTTCAAAGACTGTAGCTGGAACTAACCAAAAAGAAAAGAAATGTTAAACATTTATACAGTCTCAGAGGGACACGGCTTATTTGCACTCAGGTACCAATTTATCCCTTAGGAGGGGTTGTCTTCGTACTCAGATAACTGTCCCTGAGAAGTGCCCTGGAAGTTCACATTCTGTGATGGTCCTCGTCTAAGTAATGGACCAAAGTAGATGTACCTGTCTTGCCAAAAACTCCTCTTTGTAAAGAGACCATGAACTTAGCCCAACTAGGGTCCTTAAGAGAGGCAGCCATTTGGTCTGTATCCTTCTGTCCCTCCACCAGGGAAAGCCTACTGGCTACGGATACTGATGATTCTCATATGAAAGTCAAAGTCCTAAGTCCAACAGGAAAAATTCCTTTTCAACTAGTCCTGTGAGCCCAGTCAGCTACAGGAGCTTCAATGTTCTGATGAGCATGTAGAAGCCCGAGATCATTTATCGGTCAGAGAAGACTCTGTCTGCCCTCACTGGTCTCCTCTCACTTCTTGTCTTTCAGACCTTCTTCATCCCCTATCCTGCAGTCAAACAAACCTATAGTGATTTCGTGCTCAAGTCTTCCCTAACTATGCTGGCCCACGCTCATTTCTTTAACCCAGGGGTTGACAAACTATGGCTCAGAGGCAAAATCTTGCCCATAGTTTGTTCGCATATTTCCCATTTACATTTTTAAGTGTTCATTCTAAAAACAAAGGGAAATGAGAGAAAAATGTGCTGAGAGACTATCTGGGCCACAAACCCCCAGTATTGACTACCTTGCCCTTTGTAGACAATACTTGCCAACTCCTGCCCTAGGGCTGTACCATGACTTACACAACTTTTACAGTTACCAAGAACAACCTCCAATTTGCCCAAATACAGGTTTCCTCTGTAGCTGTTTCAGTCCACCACACACATTCCATATTTAAAGCATCAATGCAACTGAAGGAGAAGCGAGTGAAGCAGACACTGAGAGAGGGGACTGTAGGTCACACGCTGAAGGAGCTGGACTACCACCTGAGCCTCAGACTGGGCTCCGGTCGCTACTCTGGAGGGAAAGTGGCCGCTGACCCTGACTTGCCCCTTCCCCGTCTCTGGACCCCACTGGGATGGGCTCAGGATTCCTTCCCCAGGATCTACACATTTACCCAGTTCTGTCTGAGGTGCTTTAGGACTCAGTGTGGGTTTAGATTTGGGACGTGGATGAAGAGGTCGACGAGGCACTTTGGGAGATAAAGGAAGAAAAACTTCAGGTTAATAGTGAGATTTTAGTTCCAGAAGCTGTGGAAAGGACTATACTTGTTATCATTTCTTGAGATTCAGGACATTTTTGTTTTGTATTTGAAATATTTCCCCCTCTTTTGATTTTGCCTCTTTATACCATTTGTATTACTCTGAAAAGCAAGACATCCCACAGAAACATGGACTAAGGAAATTCTTACTGAGATTTCTGAAAGGAAAAAAGGTTACAAAAATCCACTTAACTGTGTTGATGGTAAGGAAAGCACAGGGTGACTTTACACTAATGATGGTGCTTTTAATTTCCATTTCCTAGCCCTGGGCATATTTTCTACTTCACTCCTTACTGAAAAAAGACTGTATCAGGACTTAAAATGGCAAAATAAAAACAATGCAGGTAGTGAACAGGTAGGAATCGAGACCTGCACAGGTGTCACGTCCCACTATAACAGCTGTGACAGTGTATTCAGCTCAGGTCAAGGACACACACCCCACCCTGAGCCTCTACTGCCTATGTCTGAAACTCAGTAACACAGAATGTGATTAAAAGGTTAGCTGGGATTGAGTGGCTACAAATTTAAATGCATCGCCTTGCAGATAAATATTCTCAACTAAGTTCCTACTTGACTCTCTTAAAAACCAATGAGTTTTTTTCTTTAACACTTTTCAATACATTAAGAGGTAAATAAATGACAATAGAGGATGACATATGAGTCTTGTGAAGCAGGAGAAGATGAGGTTATGACGGTGATGAAATGATGAAATGGGTCTGAAATGAGCAGAAGCAGATGCTGATGGACATAATGTGTCATTACCTACTGTCATCCCAGGAGCCTCGGTCCCAAGAATACCTGGTTCACGGATTGTGGCAGGAACTGATCAAAAGTAATCAAAGAAATCAAAGAGATTTTTGTGAATGCAAGGAATGTCAGCAAAGTCATCCTACTGGTAACAATAATGCTCCTAAGGGAGAACGGGGAGGGGGAGGATGGATGAAACACAAAAGCTGTAACACCAAGAGGCAGGAACTCTGGAGGGGGAAGGGGTGGTGATGGGGATGAGGGGGTTATCCTGGGATCTGTCCTCCACACATAGAACAGAGCTGAAAAGAAGCCTAGACTCTACTCACTAGGTGACTAAGTCCTTAGTGAAAACAGTGGCATTTAATATATTAAGGCGAGAAACAACCTCTCAGATTGTGGTATCACAGTGGACTCGGCATCTCCAGTGCTAAGCAAAGCAAAAGCAGGGACCTGGTTAGAAGTAAGGATCACTGAAGCCCACTGGATCACACTTGAGCTCTTGAGTAGACATCCCAGCCCCTTTTAATTCATCCGAAGGGCCCATTCAACAGATGTGTATCAACAAGTCATCCTCTGTCTGGGACACTGGCTTCCTTCAGCACATTCCCTGTTTATGAGTCTTGTTGCCTCATCCTTCCACTCGTCCAAATTCTGTACTAATTTTTTCCCCTAATTATCCTTGATCTTTTCCTGCTCCAAATATTTATTATATGTCTAGCATAAGCATTTGGACTATTTGAAAAATCATCTTACATTTGTATCAACATGCTGCCTTATGCTATTTTCTACCTGTTTACATGGGAAAACCTTTTGTTTACAACTATAGTACAAAATGATTAGGAAAGAAAAGATAATTCCTACCTCTGTCTCCCAGCTGCTAATATGGTTATGTGGATATAGAAGGGTTTAATAGTAAGAGTAGCTTTTACCATTAAGAATATATAAGGCGTGTACTAATTTTATGCATAGAATTTAGGGTCCCAACTAGGGCAGAGGCTTGGATTCCTTAACCCCAAAGCCACATATTTACCCAGTTTGGTCTGAGCTGCTTCTGGACGGGGTGTGGTTTTAGCTTTGGGACGTGGACGACGGGGTCTCTTTGTTGTTGTTGTTGTTGGCGCTGAAGGAAGAAAATTTACAATTAATACAGTGCTGATGGCTCCATTAACTCTGAATATTATGTATGTTCAGAATGATATAACATGGCGCTAAGCTTCTAAAACCTGCCAGAATTCCTTGGAGTGGAGACAATTTTGTTACTTCAGTTTGAAATTTTCCCCTCTAATATATTAATAGGTTTGCTTTTCTAACTGAGAATGCTCTAGAGATTAAAAATTACATTACAGTTATGCTTAAGAAACGAAGATGAGAAATTATCAGTTTCTTCCAAGTGTCCCTGCATACAGATTACTGCCAAACTATGATGGTATGAGAGAAATTCACAGCATCTTAGATTATTCCCTTATAATTTAAAATAACTTAGATTGGGCAAGTGTTCTACTTGGTAATTTATTAGAATAAGTACACAAAATTTGATGAAACCTCACGTACGTTAAAAAAAATTATGCAGTACTTAAAATCTAGAAAGATGCCTGGAGAAACTCCATGGTATCATAACTGATACTGCATTGGTGGTCTAGGGATTTACGGAGAATTACATTTGGACCTCAGCTCTAGCAAACAGCGTTCTTTAAACAGAAACTCAGATTGACATGATGCAATTACAAGCGGGGAGATGGAGCAGATAACTGTCTTGAATTTAGTCCATAGACATTAACATTAGAAAGAAAGCCTTTTATATTTTAAGATGAATACAGCAATAGGATGACATCAAATTATGGCATCATCTCGGTGGTACCACAGGTAAGTCTGACAATAAATACGAAAGAGCACCTGCTGAAGGACATAAAGGATCATTACCTAAAGATGTCTCAGCACTAATAGGTTCAAAGCCTGTGGCAAGAAATGTTTAAAAGCAATTAAGAAAAGAAATGTTAAACACATAAGGAAAGTCACCCAACTCCCTTGAAAATGATCTTTACAGGGTAGCATTGGTTCTATAGCCAGAAAGCAAAAAATTAAAAGTTCCAAGGTGAGGGTACAAAGATATTTGTTCTTATGAAATGGTTAGGTCCTTAGTATCACCACATGATTATCTACAAGTGTTGCTTTTTTATATTATCTGATAATACAATAGAAGACTCTGCTTAGAAAAATCTTTAGGCATCTGTCTAATAACACTATGGTTAACAATTATGAGAAAAGAATGTCAAAGTATAATCTAAGACCCTATATGCTAGGTAACAAAGCCATAAGTCATGATAGATGCAATTGTTGATACATTTAAGCAGATACTGTAATGAATAACCAAAATAGACAATGCACTTCTTTGTTGAGAGTCCACTTTGGAAAAAGACTAAGACCTCTGTCAAAACAACGGCACAGAACAGAGCAGGATACAGTGGATCATTCAGTCTGCAAACCTTGTCAGTGCATTTCTCTGTTTTCAGGACTGAAAAGGGCTGACCCAGGGAGGATAGAGAGTATGCTGTAGCCAACTGGCTCAAATCCAATCACTGAAGTCATGCATTCAAGGTCTTCTTTGCGGACTCATCTAAAAGTAGCATCACTAACCAAAATGTCTGAGTGCCAGCCAAGTGAACACTGCCTTTCTCCTTTCTGACATTCCAGTTCCACTTCTAAGTGGTATCTTTTTTGCTGTCACCCACACATCTGGCACCTTCCTGCTTCTGGTTATTCCTGCTCACCCCTCCAACAAAATTTACAGACACACATTTCAAGGTCCATGTTTCACTTATCAGCCCAGGGATCCTTCACTTCTCTAAGAATTAACTATTTGGCTAACAGCTGGTGAAACTCAATAAATACGTTGCTTTTGCCCATATTCCTTCATATCCATTTAGGAGCAGTTTCACACAAGAGCAGCTTCCTTCCTCAAGGAAGTGAAGGCACTTGTTATTTCTAAACTATTCGTCACCGAGGCTAATGCAGCACATAATTAAAGGTGAGACTAAGTGAACTAAATAGGCTAGATACTTAACTAGGTAAGTTTTGCTGAGCCAGAATCAAAGAGAAAACTGACGGTTCAGAGAAGCAAATAAAATACGCAGATACCAAGAAGCTACCAAACAGCATGAGGAAGTGACATGTATTGACTACAGCACTTGCCGCCTGAGCCCTCACCCTGAGGGGTCACAGGGTGATTAGGTGTCGAGTTACACTGCCACCCCAGTGTCACATCCACCAGGGTTCCACAGGCACCAGCCACCACATATTTACCTAGTTTGGTCTGAGGTGTCTCTGGACTCGGTGTGGTTTTATATTTAGGACGTGGACGTGGGCGATGGGGTCTTGTTCTTTGTGATGTTTTTGGAGCTGAAGAAAGGAAACTGGTTAATGGTCATCTTATGACTCCAGAAAAAAAGGATTATACATGGCTCTAGGTTTTCTAAAATTTTGCTAGCTTTTCTTAAGTCTTGAGAAATTTATCCCTTTGGTTTGGAATTTTTTTGTCATCTATATGCAAAAAATTGTGAAGGTGTCTATCAAAAGTTCTTTTGAGAAAAAACATACAGCATTGTATTAATTATCTGAAAACTTTACTATTGCTGCTAGTGTCAGATTTTCAAAGAGGACCTAGACCCAAGGGAAGTCAGAAGCACAGCATGTCCCTATCACGTTAGAGAGGGTCCCAGGCTCACCTGCGTTCGGGAAATTGTATTTAGAAATCACTTGGCTTAGGCAGACATCCCATTAAACATGATTAGAATAAGCATATCTCATCTCTTAAAATCACTGGTAGACAATAAAAATGCCTAGCAAATCTTAAAACAACTCTCTGTTGATGGCCACAGAATTATACCTAGTGTTTATAGGGCAGACACTCCTAACTGTATTTGAAATTCAGCAGAATCATAGGCTCTGTAAAGCATTAATAAAATTGGATAATATGGGTGACATACTCTGCACTAGCTTCATACAGGCTTATATTCTAACCAAGTGACTTATTTTAAACATCTTCAGTACATTAAAATGAAAACTATAGTTGAGTGACAAAAGAGGATGATGAAAAAAATCTATCAAAGAGAAACCCTTTGGTCACGATACTCCTGGAGAAGACTGGACAAGGAGAAGAAAAGGCTCTGGGTTAAAGACATAAAAGGTCATTACCTAATGTTGTCTGAGGAGCTTCGGTTCTCAGAGTTACAGGTTCAATGTCTGTGGCAGGAACTGACCAAAAGCAATACAATAAACAATGCAGATTTAAGAAATGTAGGAAAAGAAGAAAATTGTCTTGAAAATGAATCTTTTTAATCCTGTAATGTTTAAAAAAAATTATGAACTCAGGAAAAATAGTATTTGTTCTCTAATAACTGGCTGTACTCTGATACCCATTTGTCTCACAAAATAGCCGTGCCCCTTGCCCTTTGCATCCCCGTGAAGCCAATGAAACGTGCTTTTTTGGGTGTTTAATTAACTGCTTGCAGCTATATTCGAAACATGGCTCCAAAAAAATCTCATTTGATATGGTTTTTAAATTACTCTGAAAAATTATTATGAAAACTTCCTTTAGTATTTGAAAGGCTTTCACCACTATTTTTAAAATTTTTTTTGAGAATGGTGGTAGTGTTGAGAATTTTTAAAAATATTTTTAATCAGTCCATTTATTGGAGATTTGTAACCATTATGAAAAATAAAAACTTTTTCCACAAAAGAATGTGATACTCTTTCTTACAGTTTGTCCTTATTTATTCATTTATTTCAGATGGACTTAGGAGATAGCTACTCAACTGAGGAACAAGGATGATTAAGAAAAAAGTGAAAAAGTTAATAATTCAACTTTTTGTCTGGATAAGCAGGATTCCTGTAATTCTATAATATGCTGAAATAACTGAATTATACATAGATATGAAATTAAGATTTATGACTCCTTGGTTTTAAATTAGTGTCTCTATTTTTCATTAACTCCAGAAAATTAAATGTAACATTAAAGTATCTTATCACCAAAAACTCTGTCAGCATTTATATGGAGACTGCCTTTTGCTGACTCGCCAAGATAACACAGCACCAAGTTGGTTTAAGCCACATCTGAGAGCATCTTCTGAACTAATGGAAAATATGGCATCCAGAAGAGACAAAGTGAGGACAACAGGACAAAAGCAATATTCAAAGCTGACTGCCTTCAAACAAAAAAGGGGATCCTATTTTGTTTGGAACTCAACACCACAAGATGAATTTGTCAACAGAAAGGTCCAGTGCATTCAAACAGTATAGAGTCAAGGAAGAAAAGACTTTTGTGAGGAGACAATTATGTATTTTCTCAAGCCCCAACCAGCTGTCTCGTTGTTCCCTTCCCACGTCATAAATTATATACACATAAAAGCAGAGATTTTAAATGTCCTGGTTTGAAGGATGGATGGAAAGAGCACTTGTGACTGTTGACAGCATCGAGGGCTGCAGGCCATCTGACCACCTCCTAAGGTGATCCAAGAAAGAACGACCCTCAGGGGTTGTAAGCGGAGCAGCAGGTGTAAGACTGCCCAACGGTATTAAAAAGGTCCCTGTTGAAAATATTAAACAATTTTTGGGAAAGAAATGAAAAAGGTGATGAACTACAATTATTTACACAAGAGAATAAAGACAGTGACAGGGATGAGAAAGGCAAGCTCAGAGAAACACGGACCAAGAAGGAAGACAACCAGCGTTACCTATGGTTGTGGAGGGAGCTTCCATCTCAAAGGTAATATCCTCAAAGACTGTGTCATAAAAAAGAAACAGATATGAGTAATCGAGGTAAGGAAGCCTCAACCTACAGGTATGATTAAGTCACGGGGTACAGAACCTGGTTTATTCTAAGTTGCTATAAACTGCCTTCTTGATAGGCTTATTTATTATGAGAGATCCTCTCTCAGTAAATTAGAATTTTATTAAAGAATCTTAGGACAAAAATTCAATTGAAAAACAACTGAATTTTCAGCACTGTTATATAAATATCTTCTTATTTGGTAGAAAATGCCAATAAGTATTTTCGAGAAAGCCAATCTCCATGTTCCTAGAAAGGAAGAACCCAGTGTCACCCTCCCTAGCGTTGCCTAGTGGTGGCCACTAAAGTCACTTTCAAAAATGCTCCAGATACAGAAAAACCAGGCTTCTGTTCACTACAAACCTGAATTCAGAAAACAAAGCCTAAAAATGCTTTAAGAAAATGGAATCCATCAGACTGTCAGACATAAAATTTACTCATTCCCACACATTGATTTGCTGATTTAACACTTAAAACATCAGTGTGGCTACCTTGAGAAGATAATGAGCAAAATCACAGTATTTGAGTTTCTATGCTTTATATGATATGACTAATTGTAAGCATTTTCAGCAACATCCCCAAAGTAAAAGCTTCTTAAACAAAAGCACGGGAAATTATGTTTACCGGATTTAGATGGTGGTATATCTGGTTTTGCTGTGGTTTGGGGTATAGGAGGTAATTGCTTTGGTGGTTTTGAATCTGAAGAAAAAAGGTGCTGTAATTAGTATCAAAGCAGAGCTGTGAATGCCAAGATTAACGTTACGTACACACCATTTTCCTAGTCATGGATCAAGGCACTGAAAGTGGTGATTACTGGGCTGGATTTGAGGTGCATCGGGTCTGCATATGGTTTTAGGTCTTTTGAATGGTTTTGACGCTAAAGAAAAAGGTATTAAAGTGAGCATTATGGTCACGGCTATAGCTGTCATGATAAAGCGCACGTAGCTTGAGTGAAGATACTATATAAATTCAGTGAATACACAACAAAATTAATTCCTAGAATGTGGGAAGGGTGGGAAACGTGTCCATTTCTACTGATTTTTCTGATAGAAAAAATCTTCAGGCAATGTTAAATGTATCTTTAAGCAAAAATAAGGAGGACTATAAGACTTTTTTCTATATAAGTAATTTCCAAAATGACAAGTATAATAGTTCTATTTCTTAATTGATAGTTGTTTTTTTTTTCAGTATAAAAACTGTAAGGTAGGAATTTGAAACCCGCTTAATAGGGGACCCGGAAAATATTCCATAAACACTTGATGCTATACACAATGTTACATGGCTACTGATTTCTGGAATTTTCTAAAGTAAAGCAGTGACAGATTTATTGTGACTGCTGAGAAATTATATGAAATAGTTATACTCAAACATCACTAGTACCAAAAATAATAAAAACCAGCTTGGGACTTTTAACATTCTCAAGTAACAAAGACCATATTTTTATCTTGGACCCTAGACCAAGACAAGAATAGTGTGTGCACCTTTGGTTATCAAGACATACTCAAAAACATTCTTCAAGGAAACAGAAGAGCTGAAGAAGCCATTATTTCATGCAGCTTTTTAAAAAGGAGAAAGCCTTACAAGTTGAGTAAAGCAATGAAATAATGGTCATCACAGCCCTGGAATAAAATGTTTCCATTTGTCAAGCCCAGGATGAGCACAAAGGTCCCTGAGAAAGAGTGGATGGTTTTCTCAATACAATGGCACATGTGATACGAGGACAGAGGGTTTGTGGAAAACCAGGAAGTTGTGTCCAAAACCACAGACCTTCCCTAAATAAGCACACAGATTCTTCCAGAAGTCTCCTAGCTGCAGGCTCTCCAGAGAAATGAGAGGAAAAGCATGGAATGAGACTGTGATGGTGCGCAGAACTGCAGTCATGCCTGGGTTGAGAGGAGGAAAAGCCAAAGCGACAACCCGGGTAAGTGATTGGAGGGGAGCAAATTACCGATCGTGGGCACCAAGAGCTCCTGTTGTACCGTAGCAGGTTCCAGAGCTACAGAAGCAAAAAACCAAAAACACTACATCAAGAAGCAGCACCTCGAGGAAAGAAATGTTACTCTTCATTCTGTAGTTAGATGGTGTACTTTTTCTGAATGTCATCTTCCTTTTTATTTTTCCCATTTCCCCCTTCTGTCCCCATTGCTTTCCCATTCCTCATCTGCCATGAATATGCAGCCCAGGTAAGGTATTTCAGGGGCCCTACTTTAATGATCCACGTAGTGGGCCAGTTTACTGCTGTGTGTACTTAATAACTATAAATAAAAATATCCATATAACGTGAATATAGAAAGGATAGATGCTTAAATATAAAAATCAACTACACAGGTTCCTGAAGCCCAGCTATTTAGGTGGTAGGGAGCTACCCTACCAGAAACCACCATATTTCACTTTCTATGTTAGTTGGAACCCTGAACATCATCACAGTTACCAGGTTTGGACTTGGGCACATCTGGACTAGGTGTGGTTTTAGGGCGAGGGCGAGGGCGAGGGCGAGGGCGACGACCTGGTCGTTTGGTCTTTGGTGGAGCTGAAGAAAGAAAATCAGCTAGTTAATATGGGAACAGTAGCTCTCCAAGCTGACAATCAATACCACGTTCACCTTAGGAGCACACTGAAGCCCTTTGATTTCTTACGGGTATGCATATTTCTGTTTTGCAACTTTCCATTATTATATACCCAGTTAAATGAGGTCTTGAATAATGGGGGTTTTTCTGGCCAATTATTTATAAATAACTGTTCAAGAGATCTCTCTATTCCTCTAAGTTGGAAAACTCAGAACTTTGTACAGCTTAGGGAAGGCAATCTCATAACGCTTTTTTTTTTTAAGTGTATGTTCAATGGGAACATGAGAAAAGTTACTTTTGAGAAGTCACTAGGGATAAAAATTAAAATTTATTTGGCCTAAGATTCGAAAGGAGATTTTTTCACTTTAGCATTGAAAAATCTGCAAATCAGTAACATGTGTAAAAAGGCTCTGAATTCAGAAATTATTTCAGGGAACACAACCTTTTAAGAATGAGATGTATACTTTTTAAATATTAGGGTTTAAAAATTTTCTCTGAGAGAACAAAGAACACACATATGCAAATAAACATTAACGAACAAACTCATTAACGGGAGCCTGTTGATAAAGTTTCCAGCAGTCAAGAAACGAAAAGACAAAAGTTACTGACTCACTGCATTACCTAATGTTGTTGTTGAAGGTTTAGTTCCCAGTGTTCCAGGTTCTAAGACTGCAGGAAAAATGATCAAGAAGGAATCAACATCAAAGGAAAAAATGATGAACTGTATGTAAATATGAAAAATGCTTAATTTTTAATTATGAAGCTGAGCAAACAGTGAAACTTTAATCCATGTAAGAGATTGCTTTTTTATGTAAATAGAGTCCTGTGTTTCTAGACAAAATGAACAAAAATGTAGCCAGTCAGTTAAGTTTGGAAAGACAAATGGAAAAAGGGGGCACGATTCTCATCTGGAAGATGAGAATAAAGTAACCAACTGCTCATGTTATGAAGGAAAATGTAGGTAACTGGCCAAGATGGCACCAGCAGAACACACGTCTTGCTCTCTTGAAGAAAAAGAAGCTATAAAGATCGGGGTGAGTGCTTTTCTCTTTCTCTCGTTTAATGAATTTCCTAGTGACACCTCGAGATACTTCGATCTGGAAAGATCACAATGCTTTTCAAGAAAATCTGCAAATGTTAGAGTTGTAAAAGTAAGAAAAACGCCTCCCACAGTGAAAGGACAAATACGCCCTAGCGAAGCCAGGGACTTCTGTGGGCAATAGCCAGGCTACAACAAGCTTGGGGCATGCTCCCCAAATACAAGGAGGGATCGTAAGGAATGGGACTGACCAAATAAGCACAGCTTGCTTGGCCACCTCAGAACCTCTGCTTAGTCCGACACAGGCAGAGTGCGCAAATGGCTAAAAGAAAGATCTGAAGGACAATGAAGAAATAATTTTCAAAAGGCCAAAGCTTAAAACAAAGCTGAATGCAGAGGGTGTGAAATAAAGGTAGTTCTTTTTCACTCAGTGGAGGAAACATCATTACCTATTGGTGACTGTGGTGGTGGTGGAGTCTCAGGTTTCAGTGCTGCAATGAAAGCAAGTATTAAAGGGGACGCTGAAAAGCACCGTCTAAGGTAGAAATTAAATACCCTTTACCAGCACAAGGGTATTTTCACTGGCCAACAATCAGATTCCACTGTCATGACATAAAGCTCAATCACCGCACAGCCTCCCCACAAGCTACAACAGAAGAAAGAATTGAGAAATCTAATTTTTGTTGTCGATTTTTAGCTGTTTTCCCCACCACTTCTCCGCGTGCCTGAGGAGATACAACTTTCAAGAGAGGTCAGGGTAGCCTCTCCGAGAGGTTCACCTGCCATCTTGTTTTCATGCAGGAAGGTCAGCTTCATCCAAGGAAATGCGAAGAGACCACAGACCCATCAGACCTGCAACCATGTCTGAGCTCTGTCTGGGATGATTTTCAGCCTGACTGGGTCTGACATTCTTCCACAAAAAATAGGAATTGAATGTATGGGCTAAAAAGGGCCACAAGTGTTCAGATGGTGTTCCCCAGATTTATTAGCATCTACTGCTGGTGAACAAATTGATTTACATATGACATTTATTCTATTGAAATAAGCAAATCAACAGAAGTCAGAAAGTAATCTCAGAGTTCACGACAAGCTGAATAAATTGAGTAACAATGTTACCTAAATAGTCTGACAGATAAACTCTCCAATGTCATTCAGATTATAAATTATACTTTGCTGAATATAGTTTGGTTACAATGTTTGGGCTCTTAAAAAGTAGATCATACCATAGGTTTCTTACTCTACAGAAAAGAATTCTTTTCTTTCAAGAAGAAAATAAAAAGGAACTCAAATTTTTGAAACAGAAAAGTGAAGATTCTTTGACTTTTTTTCTTACAGAAAGAAAATAATTAATATGCATCAGCTTAACAGAACTTAACTCATTCTGCACTTAGATATTTCTTATATTATATTTACCAGGAGTTATCGCTGATATTTCTAGACTAGAGGTATGGAAAGTTTGGGGGAAGCAAGTAGTGACTCCTTAGCAACTAAAAAAGAATATATAACAATAAATAATTCAGAAAGAGAATTTCCCTTTATTCTGAAAGCAAAGCATAGTAGCACAAGGTGCTACTGAAAGGCGGCATCATTCATTAGAATGTCTGTGTCCAAAAAAAGAATTCTGATTTCTCAAGAACTTGTCAGAAATAGATCACAACAGAGAAATGGCAAAGCTGTAATGATGTATCAGATAGAAATACACAAAGCAATGTTAAAAGTGTTTGGGGGTGGGGGGAGGGAGTGTAGGGTGTCTCAGATTCTACAGGAGAAAAGGAAAATAAATATCAGTAATCAAATATAATAAATATCAAAAAAAGCATCCACACCCGAAAAGAGCAAAAACAAAAATTTCTCTTAAAATGTCAAGTTTGTAATTTATGTTTTAATTTCTACAAAGTTGCCTTCTACAAGTGTGAAAAAGATTTGCTACTTGTAGCATCTTTTAGCATTCTTTAATCTTTGTGAAGGCTGTCTTTTGAATTTCATAAAGAAGAATCAGCATTTTTGAATTCCTGAGACTGAGACCAAATAGGTCTGGAACCCCATCAACTAAGCTTCCAAATAAGCTGCATATAAAAATATTAACGTCTGTATTTATGAAAAACAAACACATCTTCTAATAAGACTTCCTCTATTTCACAGCGTTAAGGTGTTACGGATAAAGGTATAAAAATGTTCCATAAAAAAAAGCTGAATGGCATGCAAATAACTGCCAGTCACCCGAGCACAAAACAAAGAAAAGTAAAACCCGCTCATGGATTTGTAACTAACGAGGGGTACAATTTACAATTCCACTCACCGTGTCAGATAACCGTGTGCCACAAACACCGGTAATTGGAGGTCTCTCCCTTTTTTTCAGCTCATTAAGGGCTTGAAGAGTTGAATGTTCTTACAATCTTAACAACTCACTAAGAAGGAAACAATTCCTACTGGATGAGGCAGACAAGCTGGCACAAGGTAGATGGCTGGGATTCTCAAGAAAGTGCTGGATTCTGCCTCTAAAACAAGCCAACACCAATGTGGGTTTTTACTCATTAGTTGAACCACAAAGGAAAACCAAAGGAAAAGCAGCCTGATGGAAAGTGAAATGGAAAAACAGGAGTGTGCAGAGAGGGCTGGGAAAGCCAATGGATGACTCAAATTCGAAAGCTTTTGGTGCTTTATTTGCTCTCCTGAACCTTGGCTAGAAACTGAAATCTTCAGCAGAGCTATAACAGTGGCTGCCATACAGTAAATGCATTTTCAAAAGCTAAAACCCAAGCAATAGTTTGCGGAGATCCAGCCATTACTCTGCGTTGCCACAGACCACTTGAAGTCAGCTCGAGTTGGCTTAAGTTTAAGGTGGATTCTAAGTACTGATAGTTGCTGTAAGGGGGAGAAGTGTGCGTGTTCTTAGGTGATTAGAAGGTAGAGATCAAAGGAACATAAACTCAATGGCTTCCAAATAATTTCCCACATTTTAAAAGGAAATGTCAAATTAAGAAGTCTGTTTGCTCAAATACCTTAGAGTGATGAGAACAAACCCTCCCGCCCTAACTTGAATTAAACAATTTCCCCTCAGAAAACATTTTTTTCCCCCAGAAATAACTAAAATTAATAATACCACTTATCATGTGTAAATGGTAATCAACATTTGGAGACTTTTTTTAATATTTTTCAAATTTTATCTGGTAATAGCAGAAATAATTAGATTGGAGAAACATTTATTAAAACTTGGTGACTCAAACATAGAGGAATATTTCTCCACCTGCTTGCTAATGGCCCCCTATTGAAAATATAGTATAAATATAATAGTTACTACCTCATTCTAAAGGCCTCTGGGCATAATTTTTAAACAAATGTACATTAAACCCTTCTCTCTGAGAGCTAACTGTCAGACTTCTTTGATTTAAACTGCTAGGGCTCTTGAGTTTTACTAGCTATGCTTCTTTCTCCAAATAATCTCTCGGCGTCAGAATACTTCATTCCATTTCTCTGAACTGGAGCGCTCACCCATGGTCACAGCATCATCTATACTCCCTCTGCTTAATCCCTCATTTCCTTCCATCCGACGCCTTCAACACCTGGAAATCTCACTGCCTCTTTAAGAGGAGTCATGAGAATTCTTTTTCTGAGAAGTTACGTTTTTCTTCCTTACCCATTTCACTGCAAAGAACAAATCATGTCCACTTAAGCAGAAAATCCCTTGCTTTAACAATCCTACTTTGTAAATACACATTAATGAAAAATCCACTGAACATTACAGAGAGAAATAGATTCTTCTCAGAGCTAAGGGGTTAACTTTTTTGATGAAAATGATGAGTAGTGACAAAGTTCCCCATATACAGTCTTATAAATCAACATTGAAGACTGCTGTCTATATTCAGGACAGATAGGAAAAATGAAGATTTGATCATTTAATATGTCCTGCAATCCTTATGCAGGGACCTGTCTCTGTTTTTAATTACACACAGAATAACCGCCCCCCCAAAAAAAGCCTTCGTTTCTTCAGCAAAACACCACTAATACCTCCTGAGAAGCAAACAGAAGTCAGTGTTCAGAAATCAGCTCCATTTAGAAAGAAGTCATAGAACATTAGGAAAATACAGCCACTGCCGGTCATGCAGCTTGAGAACTGAGAAGTCCCCCAAACAAGGCAGAGTTCTTAGGAGATGGAAAGACTTCTCCACTTCTCAGCTGAAAGGCTACTGTTCAGTGTAATCTAAATTCCAGTCAACTTGGGCACTGGAAACTATTTCGCAGTTCTAGACAAGAAAGTCCTCAACCATACACATCACTGTATCTCTGTGTTTTCTCTGTGATGGTCGTGAGCATAGCAATCCACCATGCAGCTCAGAGCAGTGCTGTGATAGTATCAGAGGGGCCGGCTATAATGAGATCATCTCATCACATTTTTGCTCTTTTCATGGAAAGATGTATCAAATACCAAAATGCAAAGCAGAAGTTCTTGCTCCAAAGAGTGGCATAAAATGATTTTTCAATCCTACTTTTGGAAGATCAAAATAAAACTTGGGGTAATTACCAGGTCTGGTGTGTTTCACTTCTGGACTGAGAGGAATTTTAGGTTTCAAAGAAATAAACTGTGTTTTACTGGGAGCTGGAAAAATAAAGAAACAAAATAATCAACAAATCTATATTGAGGCATTACAGTGTCTAAAACCGTAAAAGGAAAACCTATACTTTAAGGGGAAATAAACCCATCACCTGGAATGATTTTAGAACTATTCCATTAAAATAAACTTTCACAAGCAGAATTTAATGAAAATACAGTACTAAATTTTCATCTGGTTTGAGAAAACATTTCAAGAGACATAGCATTGCTGCTAAATAGTTACAGTAAAAACACAAAGTAAGACAGTGATTTTAACCCATGGTTTAAAAAATAACAAAATCAGTGTCTTGATTTTGTACCTTACTTCACATTTCGCCACTGTATCTAAATCTTTAAAGCACCAGAAAATGTTTTAAAATTGGTATTTACTGATAGATGTACCGCTATGATCTGCAAGCATAAAGAAATTTTACTAATATCATACTAGAAAGCTTTTTTTCCAGATCAAGTTGAATTTGAGGGCTTTACTCCAAAAAATAGAGAACTATGTATAAGACTCAACTTCAAAAACAATGACTGGGTACAAGATGAGAAAGCACCAGAGGTTTAATAGCTTTCCAAGGTACGGGATGATGTCTAAGTGCTCAATTCATATCCACTAACTGTCGGCCCAGACATACAAAACCATAGCAGCCATGGAGTTGATGTACTGAATGAGATATTTCGTATTGTAGAAAAGCTTCTATTAGAATAGTGACTGAGACATGACATAGAGGTGGGGATACTGGATTTTCCATATGAAATGAAGTAACACATCTACTAAGGATATATTGTTACCCAGTGTCGTCCGTGTAGGTTCAGGGCTTTTAGAAATTTTAGATGTAATTGTTCCAGGACTTGTGGTTCTTTCTGGTGATGGAAAGGAAAAAAAAAATATATTGAGATATTCTAGAGACAATGAAAAAAAATCCTCCAAGGAGGAACTGAACGACCCTTTTAAAATCCTACCATATTTAGTCAGTGTTTAGGAAGTACACAGTGAGTAAAGGTTCTGGAAAGGACTTTTTAAATTCAGTCATAATAGTTAAGGGTATAAAAAAATGGAAATAAGCTATGGAATAAGCAGCACCCAGTTTACTGAGCATGATTCTGATTTTATCATTACACAATGAAGAATATTACCTCTAAGGTGATAAACTGCCTCTACCTCAAACTCTGGGCCATAACATACATTGTTCCCCTCCCCTTTCCCTCTGGCTAAACCCTGCACATATTTTAAGGCTATACATCCTCAACTCTTCCTTTCTTTTTCTGAGCTTCTGCAAAGTACCATAGCCTCACAAGCAGAGTATATAATCTTATGTTACTCTCTGTTTATGACATATTATCTTTTAAGGCTAAGAGCAATGAGAAAGGCAGAGTCACGTCCTCTCCATCTCAGCCATCGCCCTAGTACAAAACCTGAAAACGTGTTCTGCAACAAAAACAAGAGCTGGTAGCCTAATAAACCCTCAAATACAGATGCACACCTGGAGAATAAATTACACTCTGTATTGCTGTAACAGGAGGGCTTGGTTCTAGGTTTATGCCAAAATTTACATGCAAGAACATCACTTAGATAATTTTCAATAAAATCTTTTTGAAAATGTTTGATTTTTATTATTGTGCATTAATTATTCGTCTTCAGTTAATTTCAGATTTTATAAAGAACTTTTAATCTATAGAATCATAGCATTTCTTTTTATTATAAGGAGATAGACAACAACTATTTGGAATTAAATGTCCTGAAAGGTTAAAGAGACAATTATTTACCAGGTTTAGTTCTTGGTGTTTTGGGCCGGGGGCGTCGTTTAGGAGTAGAAGGGACAGATGTAGTTTGCAGGGGAGCTGAAAGAAGATTTAGTAGAGCTTTGATAAATGATACTCCTCAGGAATCAATCAGACTGTAGCTATAAACTTGTAAATCTCTTGAGTACAAGAACTGCTTTTTAATTCTTTGTATCCCTAGAATGCCCCACACTATGTTTTATACACAGTAGGTGCTCCATAAGTAAGTGTTGATTGGGCCAAAGGAATTCAATGTCTATGCGAAAATGGAAGGTACATTGTTCAGTTAAATGTCCCAGAAAGGGAGGAATTTAGGAATACAAGGTACAGTTAAGAACTCAAGAGATGATTTAGCACACAGTGGGGGAGAAGCACAAGTATTTGGAATTTAGAGAATGGAAATTTTAGAACTTCTTTAATTCTGTTGGTCATTACTAACTTCACCAGGAGTTAATGAACTTCATGATTCCAATAATTTTCTGTCATAGAATATAGGTTGAGTTCCCCGCTTTCACTTATCTTTCTTCATCACGGGCAGGACTACAGAGCCTACTTGGTTCTCTTTATACTTAAGACTACTTTGAGAAAAATACTCTGACCAAGTGGTACCTAAACATTAACCGAAGAGAGTATCTTTTAAAACAAGTATCATCTATAATTTCACTGCTATTTTTCTGGTTGGGCAAATTTGAAAGAAGGGTACAAAGGAAATAATTCTGCAAAATAATCTGTGCAAAGATTGAATCATTAGGTTGTTCATCTGAAATTAATATTATGGATTCATTTTAGCTCAATTAAAAAATATATATATAGGCACCAAGATTATGAAGATTCTTTGAGGATCATCACAAGGCTAAGTACAATTGATAACCCACTTCTTTGAAGAATTTCATGGTAGAGAATGAAGGGAAATATTTACTGCCGAAAATTTTCTGAAAAGGCCAACGTGACTGATTCTTCTTGTCACTTTATCTATTTTTTTCAAAATACACAACTAAATAAATGTCATTAGTTACCAGGTGTTGTAGGTTGCATTTCAGGACTGGAAAAGATTTCCGGTTTTTGAGGAACAAATGGTGTTTCCCTTGGAGCTGAAAACATAAATCCCCCATCCCACCAAGTAATTACAGTTAAAATGAGGCATTTTAAGAGGTTCAACATGCTTTTAGATGGTGTTACAAAGCACATGCTACCAGTGCATGACGGAGGATGAAAAATGCATGTGGTCTTGAAAGCTGGTGGATGAAATGATCATTTAAAGTGGGGGAAAGGTCAGAATGAAATTTTTCAGCAGCTGACTCCAGGCAGATTCAATGCGTGGAAGACAGGTGATGCAGGCCACAAACACATGAGATGGGATGAGATGGGTGATGAAGATGTCCATGCAGCTTTCAAAGCTTTTCATTCCTTTAAGGATGGAAAACATCATCTATACAGTTCAAAAAAGGAAAGAGAGAGAGCCCAAAATGGAAACAAGATGCCTGCATTATAGGAAAAAAATTTGTATTATATTCAGAAATAGGAAAGAAATAAATGATTAGATGTGATGGAATGAAATGGTCACTTGGAAGAAAGGCATTCACATGAATTTTCTTTTGATGGAAAACAAAGTACAATTTTTCTGCTAAAAACATTACCCAGTGTTGCCCTTGGCTGTTCAAGAGTTCTAGAAGTTTTAGGTGGGACAGAATCCAGAAACAGATCGCTTGTTGCTGTTGGAATAAATGTCAACATTTATAAAAGCCGTAGAAGGCCCCAGGAATAAAATACAAATTCACGAGTAATAAATTATGCTTCAAATGGGGAAAAACATCAAGCATACTTGAGAGATTGCTGAATATTTTTAACCTAGTGATTCATTAGGAGTTGAAGATGAGCTCACTTTTAAAAACGTACATATTTTAAATGTTAGAAACCATGATAAAACCGTGTTTCATATAGTCAACTTGTTTTCAACTGGTTTTTCAGGTTCCTTCCCTCTGCTTCTTAACTACCGGTTGAACCCACTCTAAGCATTCTATTTCATTTTTTTCCTTATCTTCTGCTGCTGTTTAAAATTATTCACCTTTGTCAGGGCACGCATAGAGCTAAGGCCATGCAAAAAATACCAGACATATGTCTTTGTGTGGCAGAGACCAGTCTTATTTACTCTGAATCTCCTGCAGGAACTTGTTTAGTGAGTGCTTAATAAACACTTGCTAAAAGGAGCTACTGGATTGCGTTAAACTCACTGCAGATGGAGCAGTAAGTGAAGGCCAAAGATTAGACCCAGCTGAACTTCTGCAGATGACTGAATGACACGACTGTTCTGGAGCCGGATTTCTCACCTCGGCACTATTGCCCTTTAAGGGTTGGATAATTCTTTGTTGTGGGGGGCTGTCCTGTACATTGTAAGGGTTTAGCAGCAACCCTGGTGTCTAAATGTCAGTAACGCCTTCCCCAGTTGTGACAATCCAAAATATGTCTAGCCATGGCCAGAAGTTTAGGGGGTAGAGGGGAAGAGAGCAAAAATACCCCCACTGGAGAACCACTGCTCTAGAGAAAACTCTCTAAGAATTTAAAATCTTTTAAGAATGATTCTGAACAACAGAGCAACAGGCCATGGTTTCACTGTGCCTCAGTGGTAACCTAATCTATCTGCATCTCCCACACGTGGTAGAATTTACTGATGGATGTGAAGAAATAATCACTCAATGGGAGAAGTGGGTAGAATTCATCTCCCTGACACAGACTGCCCCTTCCCTCCTCTAGGCTTGGAAGAGAACATTTTTTCACTCTGCAGAGGGAACCAGTGTGGTATTGTCAGAACACCTGGCATCCAAAAAATGAATTGAGAGGCTGGGTATACCTGTGTAGGGCTCTGATATTTCAGGCTCATCTGATGTTGTAGAGCTTGAGAAAACATCATAAGCTGCTTTTAAAAGAAAAGGTAAAACAAAAGAGAAGGTATTAATTTTTTATTAATTTTTAAAGATTTCATGACATGCTGTCTAAAGGGGCACAAACAGTTTTATGTAGGTGTGAGTGAGTTTTGGCTGTGGGCTACTGGTCTTGTCACTAATGTGTCAGCAATCACCAAGATTTGCATCTAGTCCTTCTTGTCCTGAACTAAAGGCCTTTAATGTAGTGAGCCCCGACACTGGCCTTTAGGTGATGTGAGCATAATGCTATACGTTTGCAATGAGATAGTGCCAGCTCTAAATCAATGGCTTCAAAGAGTATAAACATAAATGACACAAATGAACTTATTTACAAATCAGAAACAGATTCACAGACATGGAAAACAAACTTACGGTTACCAGGGGGAGAAGGTGGGGTGGAGGGATAAATTGAGAGTTTAGGATTTGCAGATACACACTATGTCTAAAAGATATAAACAACAAGGTCCTACTGAATAGCACAGGGGACTATATTCAGTATTTTGTAATAGCCTATAATAAAAAGAATATGAAAAGGGATACATATGTGTATAACTGAATCACTATGCTGTACACCAGAAATTAACACAACATTGCAAACTGACTATACTTCAGAAAAAAAAAAGAGCATAAACATACATGAAGTCAGATGGCAACTTAAGGAGAGATTTCCAAAGAAGGAAAGAGCGGTCACACTGAGGTTATTTGCATAAAGCCTACAGCTCAGTCTTTCTACTTAGTAAAAGCTACCACCGTGATGTCTGGACAGCCCTTTACAGTTGGCACAGCACTTTCTCATATATTAGCTTATTTAACTCTCTTAACATACCTGAAAAATAGATGAGGTAGACATTTGCCCCATGTTATAGCTAAGGGGGTAGTATCTCCATTTTCTAGACAATGAAACTGAGATTCACTGGGGCAAACATCTTCTATCACCAATGTTTACTTTAGTGGGTGAAATGCTTCAGCTATTCAACATTAAGTACTATTTCTAATCTTACATTCACAGAACAGAAATGGTACCAAAATTTGCACCATCTAATGTGAGTACAATAGTTATTTCCAATTCAAAGGTTATAAATAGCAATATTTCTTTCAAAAAACAATAATAGCTTGTAATCACGATTACTAAACTTTACTTTTATATTTCACAGAAAACATACAATGATATGAAATAAGTCACATTACCATTTGCTTATAACTCCCTAAAACTGCATTGTTAAATTCTGTTTCATTGGTTGTACATTTTATTTTCTCTCTTAAAAAACTGATTAAATGCAAAATTCACACTAAAAATACTTTGATATTGCTCTGGAATCAATGCAGCATAGACTAAGCATTTCCAGTTACCAGGATTTTATCCATTCATTTTATTCAAATTCCATGAATATTAATAGCTATGGGGAAGATTTCTTTTTAAAAATAAATTCTTAGATGAAAGCCCGCATGAACTCACTAGGACATAAATTGTCCCGTCATGCTCTTTATGCAAAATTTACCCCAGGGCCTGGGTCATAGGAAGACTCCATGGAATTAATCTGTAAGATTCCCATTACAGTGAACAAGTAACAATGAGTCTGACAGTTGGGTAGTTTATGCTCTTAGAACGAATTAAGGAGAATAAATGAACAGGTCCTTTACTTACTTTATGACACACACATGCACACAAATCTCTTCCTCTGCTACGCAATTACCTGCCATATGCTTGTGTGGCCATACTCTGCATGGAAACAGACTCCTAAGCACATGGAAGAAACAAGGCGAAAATACAAGAGGACCATCAAGAAGTAGCTGGATGAAAAGAGTACTCACAAACACCACACGCAGAGTTTCCAGTGCCACTCACATAAGCAAATAACACCCTCTTCAATTCATGGAAACATAAAATATCTTTCTGGTTGGCCTTGAAGTCTGTGAAAATCCTGACTGCGAGAAAATACTCACAAAGAAAAACCAAAGGCTGAGACTATAAATCTCTAAGAGACCACAGGAAATCCGTAAACCATCTGCTATACTTGAGTTCTATTTTCCAGATCTCCAAGTATCAACGCCACCATTTAGTCCAATTTTTCTTTTCCCTCTCTAGGGCTTAATTCAGTCGGGTGGGCCAGACTTGTGCTAATCAACACCTCAGGGGTGGACAATAAGGTCCAAATGTAGAGTACAACCTCTTTTCAAGCCCACTGAGCAAACCTGGGGCTAGAACTTTCCAACGAGTAGACCACTCCTTGAGTAGACTGATCACTTCAGCTTTCAAGTCTTTAAGTCATTTATAGAGCTTAAGTACACATAGCAAGAATTAAACACCAAAAATAATTAGCCATGAACTCCTAAGGGGAGCTTGCAAAGTGGGTTCTAATGAAAAGACTGAGGCTGACCACCCTTAGTTCTGTCAAGAGACATCTCTAAAGATAACTGTTTATTGCTCAAGGGGAAATAATTGTGCCAGAAGAACTGTCATCTTAATAAGTTACACAAAATGATACGTTACGGCACATTGAGAAGGAAAAAGCAGTCTGTCAGAACATGTTAGGGGAAGAACAGGCAGGAGAGTTTTCTAAAGATGAAAATAAACATGTTGGATTATCTTGGGTTATAAAAGAAACCATTTTCTTGATTTGATTTTGGCTTCAAATTCCTCCTGGTACTAAATGATGGTTTTTAAGGGGATGACCAAGTAAGTTAAGAGGCTTAACACTGATAGCATTAGCGAGCCGGAAACACAACACTGATTTCCATCCTCCTCTTCCAATTATAAAAGGCTTTAGAAGTCATGCGTATGCCCCATCTATGGAGGGATGTATACACAACATGTGTGCTGCTTCTCCCACTTGTGATGCCTGCAGAAAACACATCGAGTTGGTCGTGGTATCATTTTACTCCCTGAGCCAGGGCCTCAGAGTCCAGCTTACAGAATGATGCAGGCTTCCACTCTAAACCAAATGGTGCAGCCGTGTGATACGATTCACCATCTCTGCCGTGGGGTTAACAGGACATCATCAGGCCATTCTCACGGGTTGCAAGGCCTCTTCAAATCACACGGCACGTGTCCTTTCCATCCTTCCTAACATTTTTACACAAGTGAAATGAAGACCCAAGAATCATTTGGTATGTTTTTGTATGTATGAGCTTGGAGTATTTTCTCCTTTGCTTCTTTTCTTTCTTTTTATCAATTAAAAAATTTATTGCTGTTATTGAGGGTCTGCGGCAATTTGGGAAGCTTGGGATAGACAGCGTAGCGTAGCGGGAAGAGGGTGCATTCAGTGCAAGGGCCAATTGTATTAAGGAAATGTTAGTGGGGCTTCCTCAGTACTGTGAGTTAGGTTAAGTGACTTACACATTATTCCTAAGACATAACAATCCAATGAAAATTACTATATTATTTCCATTTTACAGATGGGGAAGCTGAAGCTCCCAGGGGTTAAATTACTTGTCTGCAGGTGTATAAGTGGCAAATTGTTGAGCTATCAGTTTATAACCCAGCTCTGTCTCACCCTATAGCTCACAGATCAGTGATCACATTCACAAGGAGAATGAACTCTGGGACAGGCCAGCCTTTCTCTCAGACCACTTGATGTCTCTTAAAAATCTAGAAGTGACCTGGTCCTAATAAGAACATGGAATTTACTCTGCTGTGAAGCTATTCTGCAAAAATTTCAAAGCAAGCTATATGACATTATTTCACTTTTAACTTGGAGTGGTTTGTTGGAGAGAAGCTTAGGAAAGAAATGAATGAGGATCTAGTTTTTGTTCCTCTACCTGCTCAGAGACCAGTCTCTCACATAACTCTTTACGATAAAAGAAAATGATAACTTGCTTTCCTTCCAGGGAATTCTGGAAGATCAATCTGGTGGTATATATATAACCCTTTGAATCTCTTAATAGAACACTACTATGCAAATACAAAATTATATTATTCCAGTGGAGAAGTAATCCAACAAGTATGCACACATGCATGCACAATTTATCCAGGGGTGAAAGGTACTGAGAGCTTTTCTAGAACTCACTCAATAGGAACAGAAATCATAGTCAAGTGGCTATCTTCCAATAGAACCCAAGACCAATTCTATCACATCACCAGAAAGATTAACTTTTCTGAATGATTGTTACAAGCACTTAAGTATTTCTAAAATGTGACCAACTCTCTTAGTACAGAATTTATAAGTAAGTTTACATCCTGGCATATAGTTACAGAGCAGATTTTTATAATTTCCTTTCTGTACTTTGAGGAAAGTTGGGTGTGCCAGGGAAGTCAAAATCAATCAGTCCCACTTAAACATACTTCAGAGAAGGTTTAATATCAACTACAATTCCAAATAATGAGATCACAAAACGCAGCACTAATCAAAGACTAGGGCCAGTCGGCTAAAAGCGGGGAAGAATACATCTGATGGCTACACCTCTCGGATTTCCTAGGCTATTCCAAATTCCAAATAACCTGTCCCACTCCTGCCATAAGCTATTGAAGTGATTTCAACGTGCATGTTAGAATTTCCACATATCCTTTTAGATTTAAAAGTAATACAGAAATCTTTCTGAGAGTGTGCATTCTGATTATTTGATACAGAATATGAAGTAAATGTGGAAAACAAATCTAGTACATGCCGAAGCAAAATGAATTTTACAAAAGGTAATGATAAACCATTTAATGGCTGATAAAGAGAAAAGCAGCCCTTGGCATCGGGATGCTGGCCAGGCCACAGCTAGGCTGTCGTGTTCTCCTGCTGACATTGACAATTTAAAAGAATATCACCATCAGACAAGTTCAGTCGGTGACCAAGATGGACCAAGACAAAAACCAGACCATTCTATAACTGTGTGGAACACAGACAAATGCACAAACACAGAAACTACTGTAACCACATTCTGGTTCATGTCTTTTATCAATCACATCTTCAGTTTCACTCCTATTTTCTTGCCTTTGAGTTAAGAATTATTAAGATATTCAATCATGGACTACTCCCACTTTCTGACTGCAACCAAATCAGAGCAAAGATTCACTTCCTTAAACCCTCCCCAAAATTACCTAATACAAAACCAAATCCCATGTCTTTCCAACATCCTCTTACTAAGAGATCCACAGTTCCTCCTGGTCTGCATTCTCCATTGTCACAATAAGTAGATAAACCTAAGTTTGTTCAAATACAGGTGTGTTCCTGGTGGTCGTTGGCTGAAAGGAATTGACATAGTAAATACAGATGCACTGTACCCCAACAGAGAAAACAAAATGTATTCATTTTGCTATAATAACGTCATTAATACCAGCTGAAATATATCATTTCTTCAAAAGATCTAACAACAAAAACTGGACCAATGACTTTCTGGACCGGTGTTTAGGTACTACCTCTACCTCTCTTGTCTTCATTCTCAAATAACTGCATTAGGAAGTCGTGTGAGTAACTGGGAAATAATCATATAGGTTGAAACAAAACAGGAAATAGAAACTTAGTGCATGTGTAAAGTCACACAAAATCAATCATGAAACAAGGCTGAAATGAATAAAGGACTGTGTGAGTGTATCAACTCTTTAAATCACAAATAACACACCTGATAAATTTTACTTTGAAATTTAACCTGTTAGGAAGCTGCCATAGAACACTTAATACAAGAGTTAGACAGGAGTATTGCAAGCATTAGCAGAAACAAGAGGCACTTAATCACCCACTTTGAGAAACCAGGCCCTCTCTTCTATAACTGACCACACTGGATGATTTTTACCCACACCATGGAAAATGTTACAGACTACAGTGACAAGGAGGTGCTCCCCAAGCTTTAACATTCACACAAACCACTTGGAGAGCTTGTTAAAAAGCAGATCCTGATTCAACAGATGTGAAGTAGAGCCCAAGATTCTGCCTTTCCAACAAGCTCCCCAGTGATGCCAATGCTGCTTGGCCAAAATCATACTAAGTGGCACAGATATAAAAACTAAAGGCTGCTGTAAGGACAGGCTAGGACGCTCCTGTGGCTAACGCTCATGTCCGCAATCACACCTATTGAACCGTTACAGCCCGGGCCAAGCTCCTGCACGTCACCTAGAGGGTGACAGCTGGCAGTCGACAGGTTTCGGAAGTTGTCTGGCAGCCTAAGGTGGCCCTGGCAGGAGTGAGGCAGCTGAATAATGAAACTGCTTCCCGCTGCATTGGCCACTGTTCATACTCCATCACGGCGAAACCAGAATATTCTTCTTCTGTCATTAAAGGCCAAAGGAACCTTCCTTTTACTGGGCTTTCCAATTTCATCTAACTCTGTCTCTCTGTAACTCTACAACCCCCAACACAGTCTCCCTATTCCCCACTGTTTGCTTGCATTCAGACTTTACATATCATTTGTGTCCCAGGCATTACAACTTCATAAATGGTTTCCTTGAGATTTTGGCCAGTTTGCTCTTAAATAATCATAGACACCAAAAATCTAGAGGCTGCTTAAGGAAACCCAGGAAGATTCTATGTTCCCTGTGTTTATAACACTAAAGCTAAGAGAGAAAAGGGACCCAAGAGTTCATCTAGTCCAGCGGGCCCAAAAGTCTTTGGTTCGGGAGACGTAATACTCACGAAGGACGTGAGAGTCAGGCCAGGCCTGCCACGGGGCAGCAGCTCAGCCATCACGCACGCCCACACCAGCCACTGCTCCACGGTCAGTGCCACTGCGCCCCTGGGATGTTCAATAGAACTAGAGGCTCAGGCTAAAACTCTACCCAGAAACTGGGTTTCAGATTGAGGTGGCCCAGACTGCTGAAGGTGTTTTTGCACCCACATTAAGTAACTGCACTAGAGTTTCAGGGTCTGTGACAAGGGGAACCAGTGCTTAGAAACTGAGGCTTCTCTGGATTGGCTAACAACCATCACCAACTTTCAAGTGTTTTCCCATTTGAGAAAACTAGGGGAGACTGTAACAGACATGCTGACTTCATTTGATACCATCCTTGTATTTTTTGCTAAGATCAAACCTTACACTTCCTAGAGAAATGACAATTTGACGAAGATCTATGCATCTGTAGCTCATTCTCATCCTTCCTCAAACCAATCCTCTGCTGGTCTCCTTGCTGGAGAATACCACAGAGTGTTGGTGTATTTAACATCATGACATCAACTTCTAATTATATTATATACTAATTATCTGCACTCAAAAAAAATCACGACTAGAAGGCTCATTAAAGTAAAATACGAATAAGTAAAACAAAACTCATGGAAATAATCACACAAAGTGGTTTGCAAGGTTTTCTTATGTTGAATATTTCTTTAGTTGACTGCTAGACATCAAAGAAAAGATGTAAAGGAGAAAACTCTCTGAGAAAAATCTGTTTTTTAAAAAGAGAAGCTATTTCTTTCAATCTGCTTTAGTGCTGGAACACAAGAAGTCTCAGGAGAAAAAAGCCAAGTGCTACAGTTTACAAAAGAGCAAACTTAGATCCAGGAAAGTAGAGAAAAATAAAAAATATATGGTTGGTAGTAAAACCAGAACTGGAACCAAGGTTTAGTATTTGTGCCAAGAGCTGTGGTCTTTCCTCTGTATCACAATATGCTTACAGATTTTAGGACTTAGCAATATCTCACACATAGTAAATTCTCAATGTTCACTGAATATTTTACTGATAAAGAAGCAAATATCTACTTGCAAGGGAAATATTAAATTCATACTGTTAAATCAGATCATGATGGTGCTTATTTTTGTTACTGCTCTCATGACACCAAAGAGATCTCTAGAAATTCAGTGAGCCAATTTGCAGTTCCTCTCCTTGCCAGACTTCTAATTGTATATCCAGACGTGAAAACACAGATCTTTAAAACGAATGCAAAATCATTTTGCTTTTGTATTGGAAAAAAATGAAATTCATCTAAGTATCAAGAATGACAGCTTTACCATTTACTACAAAGTATATGGATAATCACCTAAAAAACCTATAAAAACAAAAACAAGAGAAGTTATCCAATACTGTGCTCCAATCTATTTTTTTAAAAAAAGAATGCAATTACCAGTTTGAGGCGGTAGGATTTTGGAATCTTCAGATGTTTTACTCGTAGGCACAATCCACGGTTTTTCACTTGAAGCTACAGCAAAAAGAAACGGAATTCACTGGTGAATTTTTTTTTTTTTTTTTGAGAAGAGAAAGAGACAGGAATAGGTTGCTGGTGTGGTTAAGTGGCCACCAGTAGCCTGAAAAGAAAAGCACACACTGATCCAATTAAAAGTCATTGTACATCAGGAAGAAATCAATATGCTCCCAGAGCATTTGAGTAGTGACTAGAGAGAGACCAAAATTTGGTGTCATACTCTCAATCTTTTTGAGGATAGAAAACTATTATGGAAATAGCAGACTGATGATTGTTACTGAATTTGTAGAAAAGCCAATAGATTTTTGTTTGTTTGTTTTTTTAATCAAATCAACCACTTGTCTGGCTGAGTTAACTGAATTCATCAGCTCACTGAGGTGTGCGGAGGTAGAATCTAGTAATCATGTCCTACAGAATGAAGCAATCACCACCCATTTCTAATACCAGACTTAAGGTGCTGTTATTACCCAAGGTTCCCCCAGGTTTCTCAAAAGGGAAAGGTGTTTTTGCCTGAGGAAATTCTGGAAGCCTTTTTGGAGCTGCAATGAAACACATAAGAAATGTTACGACTTGAAGAGCAAGTAAGAGAAAAGCTTTCTAAAATCTCAAGCTTGCAAAAACCGAAGACAAACATGAAAATGCAAGCTACTCAGGTAAGGTAAGGGACTGTTAGTATCTACTTCTTACTCCTGCGTTTCAATGATGGATAATATGAGAAAGCTTCTTTTTACATTTTTAATAATCAAGCCACAAAATTTGAGGAGTTTGGGCTCTTCTTTTTACCCTTATTAAACTAGTGTCCCAATTTCTTTAGCTATGTGTATGTATACTCTCAGATATGTTTCATTTAAACCACATAAATCTGAACCAGAAAATGTCCCTCTAAGAGCTTTAAAAAATCAAATTTCAGTAACTACATGGCTTTATATTTAAGCTCCCCCAAGAACTTTTTTGCTATTGCACTCAAATTCCAAAAAATCTAAGAAGCAGTCTGCAGAAATATCATAAATGTATCTTCTTTTTCAAGAGAAACAGTAGAGTAAAAAGATATTTAGGAAAAAATACAGAAAATAATTTATTCAGTGATACAATGATTTTTGAATGAAGAGAATCAAATATAATATCAAAATATGACCACCCCAAAGGAAAATCACCAAAGGATTTGTCATAGAGAAGGACTCTTAAGGATCCTAGATTATAAAATAAAGATTTTATAACATTTAAGGGCTTGGTGTTGGGGAGTTTACTGTTCTATAAGCCATGTGTGCCTTCTTTCCTGTGAGGAGATAAATTTGAATGAATTAGCTTAAGGACTTCTTTCAACCATGCATAAAATTTCCAAGGTAAAAAGAAGCTGCATTGTTTAATAATTTTTACCTAGAGTGCTCAGTGGGAATTCAAACCTAGGTATTAAAATAGTCTGCGATGTTTCGGGGGTCCTTTCCCTGAGAGCTGCAATAAAGAAGAATTCAGTTAGAGACTCTGTGAGTCGGGATTTGATGCTGTGGCTTAGCCGTATGGTGTAGGCATGCTCCTAACAGAGGGCGCACTGGGCAGCTGATGCCTTTCATGCAAATAGCTGGCTTTCCCTGGAAAAGTTTTACATAGTTGTTACAATTTGAAGGTGTACCTTCAAATGGCCATGGTGTGGCATGGAAGATCAACATCACAAGTACTGAACACAATACGTACATGCTGTTCCTTTTTTTCAGGGGAGAATAAAGCAAGTTAGACTCTCTTGGGCCAAGAAGCAGCTAACTTGCATGGCATGAAATTCTTATTACAAGACAGGACACTTTCGGGGATTCTCCTTAAGTTTAGTACACACAGGACTTGGAAAAGCCAACCAAAATGGAAAGCACGGACATAGTCAAGACTTCCACCTTTCCAGGCTTTGTAAGTTAGAAACCTGACATTCTGTTTTTCTAGACATCCCAAGGGACTGGTAAAAAGGGTGTGCAGTTAACACCTACCATCCAGAGCTTCCTAGGATATTAGTCACCAGGATCAAGACATGTTGTTAACTCTTTAATGGAATTGGTCCAAGAAATACGAAGATGAACTACTGTCAGTAATGGGGGAGAAAAGTGGGGAGGGTGGGAAAGCCAAGGCATTGGGGTTACTCTTCTTTTCTATGAGGGTTGAGAGGTGGGGTTTTTTTTTTTTTTGAAGAAAAAAAAGTTCTTAGAATTACCCAGTGTTGTTTCTGAAATGTCTAATGCACTAGACACAGTGGGTTTAGTGGTTCTTGGAACTGATTCAGGAGTCACTGAAAGGTAAAAAAGACAACTTTACAAATTAAGATAAAATGATGACACAACTGAAGACTATAAGGCACTTTTGTTGTCCTTTGGAATTAAAGCTGACACTTGCACAGACCAATTCTCTTCAAGTTAATTAAGTTAAGGGCTCTCTGGCTTGCCCCAGTGCCCAAACTCCTCCCAAGCCTTCCTTTCTGGGTTTGTCCAATTTCCACATGCTCCAAAAAGCACACAGAATTGACCTCCATGGAAGCACTTATCAGATTAATCATAACTTAATTCCTCTGTCTTAGCACAACGTCTGGGGTATAGTAAGCAAGCACATAGTAATTATTTACGAAATGAGTTAATAACTGGTCAGATAAAAGAATGACCCAGGGCAAAAAAGGGTATTACGTTTTAAGATTTCTTTCTTCCCAACTGCAGTCAACATGCAAAGCTTGGAAGTGGGTTGAAATGATAAGGATTCAAATGCTGAGACACAAGTTTGTTTCAAGTGCTAACTCAAAGGCAAAGATGACCCGCAGGTAAATAGTTTTTGAGAAATAAGAACCAGGATCACTGAGATCTGGAATGAATTGTGAGCTACATGATACCAGAATTTTTTAGGGGAAGGACATGAAATAAACACAGTAACAATGAATAATAAGTTACGGTGTTCGCCTAAGTGTTTTTGAAGTGGAAAATTCTGAGGAGAGTCTGGCAGAAAACTAAGAAATCTGTAGACTCTCCCATCAGATACTGTGCCAAGAGAAGAAAGGATAATTGGGAAAAAATTGATAGATTCTCCACTGGGTCATGCCTCTGCTTTTCTTGGTATTGACCAATTATATTGAAATCAGAAACCTACCCAGAAATTTCCTTCAGATACATTATTCCAGCATCAGATACTACCTCTGCTCCTACTCCCATGAAGGTGGGGGATGGAAGGTCATCTCTCTCCTTTAGGTAGCCTAAACTTTTTAGTTTAGTTTAGTTTAGTTTAGTAAAAAGTAAACTTTTTACTCCATCAGAAATATTTTTATTTCTTGAAATCAAGTTATTTGACTTCTCCACCAGTCTTTATCATCTCTGGACCAGTTATGAATCCAAGAGTTTAGTAACAGGTAAGTATCACTGATATTTCAGTTCACAGCAACTTTATGGATTAAAAAATTCACTTTAGATTGGAGTTACTTTGCTCAATGTGGATCTGGGGGATTTCCTGCCAGATGTTTGTTTCACAGAGTACTGGATGAGGTGGTACTGCTCTGGCAAAAACTCTGTGGTTCAGAGAATAATGTGTCCCCAGTGGGCTGGACTTAGGCAGTTCATTCATAGAAGAAATGATGAATGTTTGTTAGTAACGGCTGATAAACTATGGGGAAAATGCATACTGCATTTATTCTTTAAAGGATTTTTACTGAACTATTATATATTTTCTACACAAAAATTGTGAGTCTTCAAGAGACATTATTATTAAACGATTCCAGGGTACTTTCACACTTATCAAACCATGGATTTGTGAGGGATAACGGCATTTTGCTAAACTAATCATTTGTGAAAGTGAAGAAATGAAAAATGGTCTAATGTCTTCTTATAAAGGAAAACACCAAAACCATGTTTTTACATTTTAGTGTAAAAATATTTCAGAATGTTGAGGTAACAACTTTCACTTACAGTGAAAAATACAGCTTCCACATTACGTATTACTTATATAATTCAATAGCTCATTTTGCATCTAGAATCCCCTATTGTTGTGTGCTAATAATTAAAATGAATTTCCCACACGTTCTTCACTGAAAAAAAATAGTCTTGTCAATCATTTACTATTTGAAAAAATACATTATTTACTTTTTCAAAGTTAATAACACAGGGATCTCATTACCTGTTATGGGCCGTGCTGGGATTTTTTCTACCTCTGGCGTTTTAGATTCAGCAGGCAATGCCAAGGTTTCATTCTTAGCTAAAAAGCCAGAGAACAAACAGTTTACCTCACGTCTTCATAATAGAGTGTCCAAATCCAATTCACTCGAAACAATCAAGCAACGGATTATTTCAAGACATCTATTCTGCTCTTATCCCGTCCAGTCAGGCAGCCAATACATTCACTGCGCATTTCTACCAGGGATTAGTATTTGTAGACGACAGTCTTCAAAATTCCTTCTCATTAACCCTAGATAATTCTTTAAGATCTAAGCTGGCACTGGCATGAAGGAAAAAACCCACAAGACAGTACTTGGGTAACTCTCAAGTCAGAATTCTGACTCGTAAATAGAGTTTCTCAAAGGCAAAAGTTGTACAGCAAATACTCCCTGGAATTTTATTTTCAGTTATTCCTAATTTTCTTTAAAAACGTCAATGAATAGAAATTACCATTATGTATGGTAACAAATGTAATAGGTTATCACACTAAAGTTCTAGAAAAACATAAATAACACATATAGGAAACTGAGTTATTTGAAGATATTTGTGGGGAAAAGAATATCGGCCGTTTATTTATTTGAGCCACATGTTAACACAGATCTTTCTTTCGGCTGGTACGGGAATTAAGTGTAAAAAATAAAATGTTTTTTTTTCCTCTTTGACAACTATTCGGGAAACGTCCTTCTAAAATTTAGGTATTCTTTTTCAAAGAAAGCACATTTCTCTACTAGGGTTTCCTAACAATCAAGATAACTCTTCATTTAAAGAATGCATTTAGGATTAACTGGATTCAGCTCTTTGGCACACTGAATGAATGACCTAGTTATAATATTTTGAAACAGTCTAGTGGCATGAAAGAATTCATTCATCTTTGAGATACCCTGATCATTTCGCCCTGAACTGATTATTGTCAGATGGGATTTTTTTTTTTAAGATTTCTTAGACTGTAAGGAACTTCCTGGGTTTCTCAATGTTCGCACTACCAATGTGTCGGGCTGGATAATTTTTTATTGGTGCGGGGGGGATCTTTCGTGTGAACCGTAGGATATTCAGCAGCATCTCTGACCTTTACCCACTGGATTCCACTCTTCCACAGCCTTGACAACTAAAAATGTCTCCAGACACTGCCAAATATCCCCTGGGGGACAGAATCGCCCTCTGTTGAGAACTACTGATCTCATCTGTTCCCTCCAAGTTCTTTGAGGATGCAGATTTTGTAACACTGCTGAAAAGTCTATTTTCTTCTTTTCAGTTAACATGGGCACAAAATATTTATTTACTTCTGATGGACTAAAAGAATTCTAAAGTCATCCCTTTTACAAAGTTGATAGAAGCAAATCAATTTTCAATCTGAATGATGGAAGCGTACAAGAGAGTCCTAGAGCTAACGATTTTCGAGAGTGACTGAAAATGCTAGAAACAGGCACAAGTGCTAGCGTACTCGCCACAGCCGCCAGCAGAGTGTGTGTTCTGATCCCTGTGCACGCGGAGCTGCACAGCGTGTCTGCACACAGAGGTTTTTACTAAAATTGTTCAAACTGATTTAGGGCATAAAGAAAAGGGACTCTTTTTTGGGAATAACTAAAAAAACAAACAGATCTAGTATCATTTTATGATAAATTCTATTTTTCAGATTGCTAAATTTTATCAACATTTTTCTTCCTGCTTCTTTTGTGGTCAGAGCTTAGGTTTAGAACCATTGTGATTGTTAGCATGGGAAAAACAGATTATAAATATTTATGAGCTCTGGTTCTATTATTTTCAGCGTGTACATAGGAAGGGTTTTTTTGATTGTTTGTTTGCTTTGTTTTTTTAATGGAGGCACTGGGTATTGAACAAGAACCTCATGCATGCTAAGCACATGCTCTACCACTGAGCTATCTCCCTCGCACCAGAAAGTTTTCCTTTAATGCTCTCTTCTTTTTTAGTGTCCTCTTTTCCTTCAGGATATCTTTGCTAAACCTCTCCTTTCTGTATAACATTCAACACTCTTCATGGTTCCCTAGCTGACCAGGACCATGTAGTCATTTACTGAATTTATTTGGGGAAATTATTTATTTTAACCTCCAGATCCTAAACTTGCAGACAATTCTCTGGTGTGCTTTGCTTCAGCTCCTTCTGTTCAAAGCATGCCCTTAGCCAGTGACCCCACTCACCTAAAATGAGGCTGTTAACGAAGGAAAAATGATCAACTACCTTTCCCAGGGATACCTGTCTTCTTTACACATCACCAGTTCCTTATAGAGGTAGGTGGTGTTTCTAAATATGGCATTTCAGACACCAGAGAAGTTGGTAGGAGGGGAAGATAATTGAATGGAGACGCTTCATGACTCCTATCAAGCCGTGAGTATTCATCAACACCACTGCATACAACTGCCATCTTGGCAACAGCAGAGAAAGGCCATCAGAACACAGCCTAAAACCCAGGAAGTCCCTTTTCCTCCCTGATTCTTCTGTACCTTTTTTCAACAGAGTTGTTTCCTTTCATTTTTGGCAAGCTAAGTCTTCGCTTTGGCAAACCCTTTTTATGTCTCTGGGAAATGTGTGTAATATTAGCTTTCTTGTTTATTCTTCTCATTATTCACACCATGTGTTCTTAGAACAAACCCTATTTATTTCTTAATGGCCCATTTTGGGTCCTGCTGGAAGGAAGATATTTTTAGGCTTTACCTCTCACAAAATAGGGCTTTTCTGAATTGCAGTGATAAATAATTTCAGGAAAGTTTATTGCTCCTTTGTTGGTATAAAGAACTGTTGATGCTCACATTTTTTTCCATAAAACCAGTAAATCTAAAATGTAAATTGTGAACATAGTCTAAGGTGATATATTTGATGGATTTACTGGTCATTTTCAAACACACGGCATACTAGTCTTTACAATGTGTAAGAAATTTGCCATGTGGTATTTTAAGATAGGTGTGTCCTGAGAAATAAAGTTTAACAAGTATTTACTATTCACACAGAACTTGTCTTCATTAAAATCACATTTAATCCTGGAGCTTTAGTGAATCATATCAGAATAATAAGAGCAAAAAGCAAAGCAAACCAAAAAACGATCTGTTTAATTCTCTAAATTAAAGAAGACAAAAAGGCTGGATTGGTATTAAGGTAGTATGTAGAACTTTGCAAAAAAAAAGGGAAAAAAATGGAAATAGTCCTCATGGTAAATGGCACTCCCCCAGGCACCATGACAGCTCTGAAACTAACCACAGAAGGTCAAAAAGTGGGCCAACTGCTGAGAATCTCAGTCCTTTCCCCAAAAGCAGTTGGAATAATTCTCCTACCTGTTAGCATATAAAGCCACCGAGCCCATAAAAACTAGTAACACCTCAACTTGTGGCCTCTCGCTCCCTCGCCTTCCAAGACAGCCTGCACTCTGTCCATGGAGTGTGTATCTACTTTTACTTTAAACTGAGCACCTAACCCCCACACCTTGTGGCTTTTCTCCTGCCTTCTGAAATAGCCTGCACTCTGTCTATGGAGTATGTATCTTTCTGAATAAATCTGTCTTTACTCAACTGTGGCTCGCTCTGGAACTCTTTCCTGCATGAAGCCAAGGACCCTCACTTGGCGGGGTGTGTCCCTGGGACACAGCCATCCTCTCGCCCCACGTTTTTCCAGTATCAATTCACTGAGGGGATTTCATTTGGAAGCTGCCTAGCCTGCAGAGCAGCATTAGGTGACGTGGGGTTGAGTCTCAGGGTTTTACAGCTACACAGGAGGCGATCAGATCTGAGGAACAAATTAAAGAAATGAAACCTGGAATCGTTTCTCTACATTCCTGGAGATAACTCACCATAGCACTACCAGGTGTTGAGTATTTTACAGTAAAAATGTAAGAATGACACAAAATCACAAGGATGTATTAACAAATATGTTCACCTCTTAATAAAACAGTGATGCATAAATTTTGAAAAATTTTCTCAAAGTGTAAGTCTAATAGTCTATTAATTCATGCTTTTCTACCCACTTAAGGCTTTGCTCCTCCTTCATCTAGGAAGTTTGCAAATTAACAGCTTAAGAGAATGTTAAAAGTTCACCTTTTAAAACTCTTACAATCTGATGTCCCAGCATCAGACAAGCCAGTAAGTCAGACCTCCAATGAGGGACGAGAAATGAAGTCTGAGGTCCCTGGATGCAGAGGTCCCGCGTTTGGGTACCTCCACATTATGTTCCCGGCAATTTGCAGTTCTGGCGCCAAGTAATGCTTAATAAATATTTGTTGAATGAATGTTGCCAAACAGAGACTTGTTTCCACATCCATAAAATGTGAAGATTCATTTAGGTGTCAAAGTTCTTAGCCAGTACATCGAGTTCAGGGAAAACATTGTTAAGTCTTGTTCAGTTTCTACCCCATCATGCCATCTTCTTCCATATTAATCAGTGGCCCACGCAAGAAGTTCTCCAGAGATTTTAGAAAGTGTGGTTTCTGGACCAGCAGTATCACCTGAGTACTAGGTAGAAATGGAAACTCTCTGCCCCACTGCCCACCCTAGACCTACTGAACCAGTGACCTCGGGGTAAGTCCAGCAGTCTGCTGTGACAAGCCCTCCAGGAATTCTGGTGCTTCCTCAAGTTTGTGATCTCCTGCTACAGAGAGAATCCACACCAATTTGATACTGAAATGCAGCAACTAGTGTAGCGCAGTGACCACCCCAATTGTCTCCTGGGCTCCTTTTAAAGGGTTTTGCTGTTTTTTTCCTCCAAATGTTATGTTTTTTAAACACTAAAATCGTATCAGGTTCTTTCTTGAAGTAGGAAGCAGTAACAATACCAGGGACATAATTCTAACAGACCTGACCTTTACATCAGTTCTCACTGAAACCATCTATCTAGTGGCCCCCTGATAGCAGAGCACAATGAGTATTTTTCATAACAGTTACTCCGTTGGACTCTTATACCTACAGAATGTCTGTATTTTGGATAATCTGATAAATATTCACTCTCCTTTCATAAATATAAAATAATCATTTCCCACAGAATGGGATTTGTATGAAAACCTCCAACACTCCAAACTGTCCGCCTTTTTTTTTCCTCCAATTTTTGTGGTAAAAGATTTACAGTCTTCACTGTTAAGTTTGCAATTCAGTGGTTTTAAATACGTTCAGAATATTGTGCAATCATCACTACCATCCATCTCCAGAACTCGTTTCATCTTGTAAAACTGAAACTCTGTACCATAGAACACTAACTCCCCATTCTCCTCCTCCTCCAGTCCCTGGCAACCATCATCATACCTTCCGTCTCTATGAATTGATCACTCTAGTACCTCATACAAGTGGAATCATACATTCTTTATCCTTTGTGACTGGCTTATTGCACTTGGCACAATGTCCTCAAAGTTCATCCATATTGTAGTGTACGTCAGAATTTCCTTTTTTTTAAGGCTGAATAGTATTTCATTGTGTGTATATACATTTTGCTTATCCATTCATCTGTTAATGGGCACTTAGATTTCTTCCATATTTTAGCTGTTGTGAATAATGCTATGAACATGGGTGTACAAGTATCTCTTTAAGACTTTTGTTTTCCGCTTCTTTTGGTTATATACCCGGAAGTGGAACTGCTGTATAATATGGTAATTCTATATTCATTCTTTTGAGGAATGGTTGTATTGTTTTCCTGTAACTGTAGCATTTTATATTCCTGTTCACTGTGCACATGCCTATTCCTTACTTGTTACTTTGAGGTCCCCAAACAGCTTACTTGCTAGATCCCTTGGCTATCCTACAACTATCAGTGCTAGTACTCAGTCACTGCAAAGTCCAAATATAGATCTTTGCTGCTTACCTAATTGTGTCTTGATTGCATCTGAAATCTCGAACATTATGGAGGTAGGAAGTTTTACGACGGTTTCATTGAGACCTGGAATAACAAGGTGGACTGCAAGAAAATAGAATAAAACAAAAGAAAATGTGTCACGACACAAAGCTCAGAGCATCGGATACTAGAAACCACGAACTTCAGTGGTTATTTTCCTTAGCCAGTTTTACTCCAAACTTTAAAATGACAGAAAAAATATGACAGGAACTTTTAAACAGAATCTTTTCATATTCAGAACTGAAGTACCAAAATACTCTGGCTTTTAACCCATAGACTCAAAAATGGTAAATTTGCTGCTTAAAATGTGTGGTGAACAAACACCGTTATTAATGATAATTTTTAAACAGCAGTTCACTATGACAAAGACCCTCATAACTGCAACAACCCTGCGGGGCAGATAGGATAGGCACCCGCGTCCCCGCCAGGCACAGGCTAGAGCTGTCTAACACACCATGATAGAGATAGCATCTCTTGGATCGTAGCCTGGAATGCACACAAGCCAGGATGCTAAATACTGAAAGGAAATGAACCAACATCAATTTAGCAGAACCGCTCACAGTGCAAAATTCCGTTAAGAGCCTAATTATCAAAAAAAAATAGCCTGACTAGCTTATTGTAGGTGTAGATTTCAAGATAAACTCACCCAGTATTGTTCCTCCGAAGGGAGTCTTATCTGGGGATTTAGTTGAGGCCTTGTGAGTGACATTCTGAATCACTGTTGAAATATCAAAAGGTAATAGTGTGAATGCAAAAAAAAGAAATCGTCATGAAGCAGTAACAAGCTTACATTGTGAAGCCATCTGCACTGCAGAGGCCCTGATCTAACTTTTTAATAGAAAGGAACTCACTGGGCTGGTTACACAGCCAAGGAAAGGACTAGAAGGCATATCTTAACACCTGTGCCTTCAAGTAACAAAAGGCCATTATTATTCCATCATATCATGTTCCATTCTAATGAGCTGAAAATTTCCTTTCTCCACTCCCCTCCCTTAGGCTCCTCCAGGTAAAGAACTAGCACAAAATGACCCAATAAATGAAAGTTAGAAAATGTATATTCTCAAAGCAAAGACTCTTTGGATGATTCCAATATTATCCGATTCTGAGAATACACTTGGGACATCGTGTTTTCTTAAAATGAAGAACTATCTTAAGTGCACAATCTCTTCTACCAAGAAACTTTCTGGAAATAATGAAGTCATTTTAATAATCTGAAAAACGGGAAGTCAAAACAAAACCGACTGTATACTGAAATGAAATAAGACCTTATTCTTCAAATTTGGATTTCTTTACTTTCCCTAACGTGACCACTAAATCATTACCATTTCATTAATTCAAATATCCTATTAATGATTAATGATGGAAGTTACCTTAGTCCTGAACAAAGCCACACATGTTTAGTTGGCTTTTTACAATTTCATACTTTGTTAGGGCTATTTTGTCCTACTTGTCTAACCAACATGCCTTGCTGAGACTTGACCTATTGGTATACAAGTCAAAATTATCTGTTAACTTCTAATTTATTAGATCCTACTGATTTCTTCCAACTTTTTTCCTGAAAAATAATCAGAAAAGTTGAAAAAAATACATGCTATGTGTAACTATCTCAGTTAAAAAGTAGATTATGAAACTAACATAATGTTGTAAATCAACTACACTTCAATTTTAAAAAAAGCAGCATTAACAACAATAACAAAAAGTGTATTAGAACAGTTCTGAACACATATCCAGAGCAGACTCGCACAGATTACCTTGCTTGATGATTGTTACTGGGATTAGTTTCCTTGGGACGTACGATGGCTGAAAAGAGAGGAAGAGTCAGCTTTTGAGTTACTGTGAACTTAAAAAAAATAAATAAATCAAAGAATTGGAAGTAGCCCTTTCTTGTACTCAATGAAGTCTCCCATGACACTGGCTTAACAGTTGCTGGAAAGAGCTTTAGTACATATCTGCCTCTGTTTTATTGTACTCACTTGGTTCCCCCGTAAATGTCTGAAGATTTGGCAGAAGCAGTTTCTTCAAAACTCCCATTAGTTTAGTTTAATTACAAACTGCAGTGGAAAGAAACTAAATCCTCTGGATTGACTACGAGTTTATTTTCACTTCATTTGAGATGTGACCCAGCCGAATTCTGTCTTTACATTAGTCCTCAAAAAGATTCGAAGCTAAGTATTGTCTTTTAAAACCAATTAACATCCAGTGTTTGCCCGTGCCTCCTGGCTGCTGCTACTTCAGACAACACAAGCACCGTGAGCTCCTGACACCAAGCGCTCCCTGGTCCGAGGGGGCGGAGCTGAGACTCACAGCCAACATTTCTACTTCCAACGCCTGTGCTTTTTACTATTCTGTACATATTTATGCCCAGAGGACCTCAAAACTGGAAGGGCAGATTTCCAAGGACTCTGCATTCTTCCTTCTCCCAAACTGCCTTAGCTGTCCCAAGGGAAGTTTTAAGGTCACAGAGCGACTTGAACTAGGGACTCGTTTAGTGTGAACTTTACAGTGGAGTCATCACCAGACATGATGTGAGCCAAGGATAAGATAGCCAGGGGAGAGGGGCAGGAACAGAACAAGAGCAGGGCAGCAAACATAGAGAAGAAACAGATTGAGTTAAAGGGATAAGCATGGCACTGATGTTTTGTCACTTGATTTAATCCACGTATATGATACAGACAGTCCAGGCACCAGACCTGCTGACAATCCAGGATGTGTAGAATGAGATACTGAGTCACATAGGTGTTTACAGATAAGAGAAAAAGAGCTTTGCTAACATACTTCCATTCTAATAAACAATAGGCCCATAGTAAAGAAGGGCCACAATGCCATGCTTACTCTTGGCTATTTTCCTTCTTGTATTAAAGACCTTATGTTAAAAACAAAACAAAACAAAACAAAAAACCCCCACAAAATATAAAAAGTTTACTCTTACCAGATTATTTTTTAAAAGAAGTATTTTTACTTCTTGCATCATATATTGACCGAGTGCTGTAGACTGAATGTTTCTGTCCCCCCACCAAAGCATGTGTTAAACTTAACCCCCAGTGTGATGGTATTTGGGAGTGGGACCTTTGGGAAGTAAATAGTCATGAGGCTTTGGAATCCTCTTCCATGGGATTAGCGCTCTTATGAAACAGACCCCAGAAAGCTCCCTCCCTGCTTCCGCCGCGTAAGGACACAGCGAGAAGATGGTTGTGAGCCAGGGGCGAACTCTCACCAGACACCAAATCTGCCAGCTCCTTGATCTTGAACCTCCCAGGCTCCACAACTGTGAGAAGTAAACGTTTGTTGCTGTGGTATTTTCCTTATAGAAGCCCTAGTGGATGAAGGCACCCAGTAATTTCCTACTTAGCAACCTAGCCTATGGGGTTAATCAAAGATACAGTCATCATTTGTGTGTAAATGTGTTTATTACCACCATGTAAAACAACCTCATCCGCCAAAAGCAGAGGTTTTGTTAAATAAATTATGGTTCAAATTTTTGACCTCTATATAGTAAGGTGGGAAAATATGCATAAGATAAATATAAAGGGTACAAATTTATATTTATAGTATAATCTAAGTGTGTAACAAATATGTAGAGACAAAAGACCAGAAGGAAATAGATTATAGTTTTTTTTTTAACAGTAGCTATTTCTTATAAGCTGATGTTAATTTCATTTTCTGTACTTTCCAAATTCCTCACAAGGACAAATTACATTTATAATTAGGGAAAGCTATTTCAATCAGCAGTCTGTTTAGCTACTATATATGCTTCTGTACTGCACAGCTCACACACTATTGGGAAATAGAGGAATTATAATGTATACACAATTTTTTCCCAGGCAAGGGATGGGGGGAATAGTAACTATAGAAGTATAACCTTTAGCAGGAAAGAAAAAAAAAGGGTTCAGCTTTGATGTCACACTGGCAGAGGACCTCTTGGCTTTACCATAAGAAAATTAAGTAAGAGCACTTGCTTACAGGACCCTTTCCCAGAAAGGGACAGTCAGGCCCATAGCACTGCCTCCTGTGTCTACCTTACTCCCAGTGAAAGGATTACCACACATGGTCGCTATCTTTTCTGAGAATTTAAAATCCCTGTTGAGGCAACCTCCAGTTCCACAGGAGATGCTTCCTAGAGGGGCCAGGTTGTCTTTCCAGGTATGAATAATCATTTTTTGCTAGAGCTGTGGCTACAGTTCCAGAGTTTTGAATGGCTTGTCCTCTATCTGCCCTACGAGTTCGCCATCTAATGCACATTTTGCAAAACGTCATGTTTTTCAGACACGTTGCATTCTAGTAGAAACACCTATGTGTTGCTGTGTTGAGTTTGAACTGCATTATCCCAATTCTTATTTCCTCTGCTGTAATGATTTGTTTTAAACAAGTTTTTGACTGAAACAAATGGAAAATATTTCACTCTTCACATGAATGGAACTAAGTTTCTGTTCGAGTTCTTGAGTACAGATCAGTATTCTGTCAAGATGATGACAAGACTATATGTACAGTATGTGCTGCCAAAAATTAAGGACATCATTTAGCTGCAGAATCCAATTCTTTCTAGACCTATAATTATTCTCTTGCCTAATCCACAATCCAAAGATGCACCAAGACTGGACTAATGAGCATGCAGCTGCCACTCTGTAAGGAATTTTTTACAGGGCATCAGGAAAGTCCTTCTGCCCAAAGTGTCTATGCTGAAGTCTCTAAAATTCCCACTAAGAAACCCACACTGAATTCTATCCCTGAGTCCTCTTATAAAAGGGTAGGGAAATGTCTTTTACCTGAACTCTCAGAGAAATAAAATATTGTGATAATTTCTAAGTGAACATGTTTAATCAATTACAACTCAATTTCCGTTAAGCTGTTTAATGTACAGTGTTTTTTTTTAAAGAAGTACCAGTAACTTTTCTTTGCCGTCCCGGGCTTGCTGTTACGAGCATCTATCAACGTGCAGAGGAGTCTCCGAGTAGCTGGTGTGGGGCATGGGGGTGGGATGTGAGGCAAAGTCTCACAACACACAGGCTGCTGCACAGTTTGGCTGGGGCGGCCCCAGCACAGCACTGCTGCCCGTGGACACCACCCTCGGACCATGTTTTCTTTCTCAGGTCATTTCCTTACTGGCTCTTTTCTCTGCAGCTGGCTGACCCATTCCTGCTGCAAACAGCCATCACCACTTCCTTCCTCAACTCTCATCTCTCCCTTCAGCAATTATTTTTTAAATGTTGACTGTATGTTAGGAAACAAGCCTACTTCCCTCCTAGCCTGTAAGAGATGGGTTTTTTTCCCCCCTAAGTTTCAACATATTCTGTCCCTTAAGAACCCAGGTTGTGCTACATCTCAAGCAGGGTGATTGATTAAGGGGATTCACTTTTACCCTCTTTCTGGGGATGTTGAGGCTGAGTATCCACTTGGTGAGATACAATGCAGGGAGGATGCTGCAGTGGTAAAAAGGAAATGCCGCTGATGATCAATTCAGCTTGCGTTTCAGTCCTGGCTAGGGAAAGCCTACGCTCATCTAGAAATAACCACAGCAGCCGTGAGCACACAGTATGAGGGATTTTTGATTCACCCTGTGTTACACTAACTTCCTCCTGATGTTATTTTGCAAATCAGCTTTCACAAAAGCAGTGATAACACCAGGATGCTACTCTTTGCAGGTTATTCTTTACAGGTTTACCCGCGTGGTATTTTTGTAGCATCAGTATATCCATTGTAGATTAAACTTTATTTTCAGGCCCGGAGATAAAGAACTGTCTTTTGGGGAGTGGCTAAGGGTTGCTCAAAATCAAATTTCGATGACTCAAGAGCTAAATCACATGAGAAAAACTTGGGAATGTCACATTCTGGTTTTAATTCATTTTTAGGGTGTTCTAACGAAAGTTATGAAATACACTGATTCAATCTAACATCTGACTAAAAGTGAATCTAACATCCTACTTGCAAAAGTCTCATGTTTCTGGTCAGCTAGGGAGAAATCAGACATACGTCTTTGGTGATGTTGTTAGTCTAGATATAAAATTCTCAAGTTTCTGTTTAGGACACTCACTGCTAAGGGTGAGAAACCTGATGTATTCAGTGCACACAATCTTAGAGTGGAAGTAGGGACCAGACCGTATTTCTCTCTATTCACTTATCTGCTAACTGTAATACTTTAAAATTTGATACCACTTCTCTTTTTGCAAATGATAGACACAGCTTCTTAGAAAGGCAGGTGGATCTCTGATGGGAAAAATGGAAGGGTGAAAATAGATGAAATATATGAGGGGAACATTGATTGTAAGGAGACTTGAGTTAATTAGATCATTATTAAGCTAATATCTAAAAATACCTGTTAATAAATGCTATGTAATTCAAAAATTTATTGTTAGTGATCTAGTTAGATAACTCAGTTTTTTGCATACAGATATATATGTATATATATATTAAAACTAGATCCTCTTAGTCATTATCCCTTTTTAAATTTTAAGTAATAATAAAACCTAATCATAAACGTTATGTTTCATCTTGATAAGAGTGCTCTTGATTCTCAACATGAAGAAAATAGCACAATTATCATGTGTTTTTTTCCCCTCAATTACATGGATCTCAAGTGATAAAACTTGTATAGAAACAATCATGGTTTTGTTTATGCACACCTGATTTTTTTCTAGAGGTACAGGCAGGGGTGATATTGAAAGTATTTAACAAGCAGTAGAACAAAGGTACTAACCAATCAGAAGAGATCCCTGCTAAGTGTCCTTTGGCACAAGTGTACTGGGACTGGCCTGCAGAACGCATGCTTAGAAACAAGAATTACAATACGTAATATAACCAGATGCTTAAGATGGGGCTGTACTTAACATTCAAATTTTTAATCTAAATATTATTTAT